GAAGTCTATAAAACTCTTCAAAACAGTCCTTGACGGAAGTGTCAACTTCTGATAACAGCTTGCCATTGTTACAGTGCAAACAATCCGGAAATATGCAGAAAAGAATGGCTGTCCACTTGAAGAAGTCAGGGAGTGTTTCTGAGTTCCATTTAGCTAGCAGTCTGTCGCGGTATCGGAAAACATCACACAGCCTATGTGGGAAGCACTTAGCTCCCCGTTTTGAAGACTCAGGGTCCAAGTGGCTCAGGATTAATCCCTGGCTGCAATGGTAGGACACTATATTGGGAACAAACAAGTGATTATATCTTGAACCAGGAGTAAAAGAGAGTGGGAGTGAGAACAAGACAGAGAGACCAGAGTCCTAACATCCCGAAGGACCTAAGAACTAGTCACAGGGCATAGGTCAGAGACCTGACTCAGCTGTCACTCCAGGAATTAAAGGAAAAAAGCAGTGGTGGAAAGATGGGGCAGGAATGGAATCAGTGTGACCATAAGCTCAAGACAAGAAGCCAAGCATTAAGCTCAGGGGTGCGAGGGAATCATGAGTTTCGGAGTCTGTCACACAGTGGTCTGACATCTGGTTCTGGTCCTCATCTAGGTTCTGGATTTTCCAGGTTTTAGAGAAGTCAATAGAGAGTAGTTTCTCCCCATTTGTTGGGGGGCGTGGTGGGATATGAGGGTAGGGGGAGAAAAATAGAATCACCATGAAGTAAGCTGCCTAAAAATCTGTCCTTGAGTTCTAAGGTGACTTCAAGTGATGAGCAAAGACCAGAAGCTTCTAGATGCTGCTCCAGGACAGGTAGAGCCTGAGATAGAAAATTAACCTTTGGATGTCCTTGCAAATCTTGAAAATACTTTACTTTTACCTTGGTGTCCTTAATCTGGAAGAGGCTGAGATAGGATAAGTATATTTAGGGCTAATCAAGCTTGTATTACCAGTTTTATGCAGCTACTCCTTAAATGATTAACTTGCTGTGTGCAGATTTCAGCAGGAATCTCATCTGAAATTGGAAGATAAAGAGACGGGCAAAATGAGGGCCCAGTTGTCAGGTTTATCCTGTTTTTAGCTATTCATTGTGACATTTGCAGCTCTCTGTGTCTCTCTCTGTCTCTCTCTGTCTCTCTCTGTCTCTCTCTGTCTCTCTGTGTCTCTCTCTGTCTCTCTATGTGTGTGTGTGTGTGTGTGTGTGTGTGTGTGTGTGTAATAAAGCAGCTCTAAGTCAGTGTGACGATCCTATTAGGCCCCACCTCTTTTGTTGTTCTTGTTTTTTTGTTTTTGAGGCAGGTCTCTCTGTGTAGCCCTGGCTGTCCTGGAACTCGCTCTGGAGACCAGGCTGGCCTGAAACTCAGAGAGACCCGCCTGCCTCTGCCTCCAGAATGCTGGGATTAAAGGTAATTAAAGGCATGTGCCACCACTGCCTAGTGCAGGTCCCACCTCTTTAATGTCTCAGCATCACACCGAGCCTTTATGCACAGGGTTCTTTGGGGGAACATCTACGATTCAGACTGCAGCACCACACCATAAAAGAGAAGTAGGAGTTTGCTAGGTGGAGGAAAAGCTAGGCATTCTGGGACTTGAGATGGCAGATATGGAAAGAAGACTGGTAGTCAGGCAACACTGGTGCAGGTCTTTAACCACCTTTAATTCCAGCACTCGGGAGAGGAGGCAGGCAGATCTCTGTGAGTTTGCAGCCAGCCTGGCCTACAGAGTGAATTTCAGGACAGCCAGGGCTACACAGAGAAACCCTGTCTCAGATAGATAGATAGATAGATAGATAGATAGATAGATAGATAGATAGATAGATACATACATACATACATACATACATACATACATAATACATACATTCATAGAGATAGATGATAGATGATAGATAGATGATAGATAGAGATAGATGATAGATAGATAGGTAGAGATAGATGATAGGAAAGAAAGGAAAAGCAAAGGAAGAAGAGTGGTATTCTCAGAATCTGCTGTTGGTTAGTCTGCCAAAGCTACTCCAAAGGATGAGATGTGTTTAAGTGTGTATAACAAGCAACTTTCCTTCCTCATATAATTCACTAGTTTTTGTTTGTTCTTGAGATTAAGTACTAAATTCTGAATGTGGAGTGCAATACTTTTATGACAATGATTAGTGGTTTTGGTCTCCATGAACATTGATCTTCCTAGTGCTGACAAACAAATCACAGCTGTCAGGACCACGGCCCAGGTCACAGACTTAGGGTACCCCAAATACCATGTTCCAGCATGGTGCAGTTTCATGAAGCGTTTGTGGTAAAGAATCAGAAAAAAATCTTATGACACATAAATACGTTCATGGAGACACGAGGTAGGTAGAGTACAGCAAGGTGGAGGAGATCTCTGCTGTAGGACCCACATGATGTGTGATGACGTGTTAGTCTGGGTTGGTGGAATGAGTGGTCTCTGTACATTCCTATGGATTTACCCAGTAGTTACAGGGCATTAAGTGAAACACAGGCATGGACAACGACTGGATATTTAGAAGGCTTAGCGAGCCCAAGATAATTTTTCCTCCCACTTGTAACATTCCAGTTGTCCACAGTCACAGGGCTTTAAAGAAGCTCACTCATTATTATTGTGTATGATGTGTGTGCATGGGTGAGAGGCACACTGGTGCCACTGTGCATATATGAAAGTCAGAGGACAGTGTCGTGGAGCCCTGTCCCTCCTCCTGTGTGGGCTCTAGTGACTGAACTCAAGTCACCAGCTTCTCTGTAAGTGCCCTTAGCTACTGAGCCATCCTGCAGGCCTACTAACTCACTTTTAAAGAGTAGCCGGGTAAAATTAGAAATTATCATTTGGGAGAGGGGACCGTTTCCAAGTTTCAGTAATGTACCTGGAAGTATTGGAAAATACATTTGTAGTTTGCTATTATTATCGTTTGTGATAGCAAGCATGTAAGTTCAACTTTCTTATTCTGTCTGGCACACAGGGGAAAATCTTTTTAAAAGGCAGAGTGTTCTCACCTCTACCAATGCTTAGACTGAAGGGGAGATCCACCAAATCTCAGACTGCACTGAGTTCCTGTCTCCTCCTCTCCTCTGCTGGGAGTAAAGATTCTGAGTGCTGGGATCACCTTTGTGTGAGCTGTTTCTCTTGTAGACTGGATAATTTTCGTGTAGCTCAGGGTGGCCTTGAACTAACAGAGATTCATCTGCTTCTGTTTCCCAAGTGTTGAGATTAAAGCTATGTGTCACCACTGCCTGGCCTCTCGGGTGGACTAGTGTGACTAGCTTTGCACTTTGATCTTCAGGCAAGCTTTGTTAGATCAAAAACAAAATTTCACCACATGAAAGGACTAGAGCAGTGGTTCTCAACCTGTGGGTTATGACCCCTTTGGAAGTTGCCTATCATATGTCCTGTATATGAGGTATTTACAATATGATTCATAATGGTGGTAGTAGTAATGAAAACAGTTTTATGGTTGGGGCTCACCACAGCATGAGGAACTGTATTAAAGGGTCACAACATTAGAAAGTTTGAGAAGCACTTGTCTAGAGAGATGGCTTAGCTGTAAAGAGTATTTGCTGTTCTTCCTAAAGATACTAGTTCAGTTTCTAGTGCCCACATCAGGCAACTCACAACTGTCTGTAACTCCAGTTAGAAGGGCTCTAATACCCTTTTCATAGCTCCTTAGACATACACACACACACACACACACACACACACACACACACTTTAAAAAAGACTTTATTTAATTTGTGAGTACACATGTATATATGTGAAATGTGTCTGTGTGATTGCATGAACACATGGGTGTGTATGCTTGTGGAGGCCAGCAGAGGGTGGTGGATTTCTTGGAGCCTGAGTCACAGCTGTTTGTGAGTTGCCTGTTGTAGGTGCTAGGATCTGAACCTCACTCCTGATAGAGCAACAAGTGTCCTTAGTCACTGAGCCATCACTCCTTTCTCTCCCCTCCTGTGTGAACTCTTATAACACATTCATTGTTATATTAACTTGTTTCTAGTTAAAATACCAATAAAATGAATTATTGAGTCATCTTAAATAATATGTTTAAAAGGAGAGATGAAATTAAAAAGAAAAATAGGAAAGGTCTTTCACAGATATCCTTTAGTAGATGCTTCATTGCAAACACTGTTATTTGCAAAGCCATGTGGACAAATCAAACACATGGTGGGCAATCACTTGACCATTAAGCTACATCCCCAGCCCTTAATACTTCAGACTTTTAAAGAACCCTTCTTAGAAAAAGAGGTTGTAGGGAGTCTTAATTACAGGCCAAGGTTTATTGTCCTTTATGACTTCTAGCACATTCATTAAGTACTTTGCATTTCAGTTATTCAGATTCCTGTAGCTAAACCTAGAGAGGACAAGTAGTGGCTGCTTCAATAGTTAACTCAGAGTTTAAAATATTCAAATTTTAGAAAGCTCCCCAGAGGACACCAAAATGAACTTCTAAGTGGAACTGTGTAATTTCCTCCTGAGAACTTACAAACACTGTATATGTGCCAGAATTTATTTCTGGAGTAGTTTGGTTTGGTTTCTAATGCTGGGAGTAGCCAGCAACCCAAGAGGAGTATTGGGACCTTTGACCATCGCTCTTAGGATGATGACTGACACTTGTTGCCACAGCAGCTGCCGTTGGAGGATTCCCTCAATTTCCTTACCTTGCAGTATTGCCTCTCCTCTGTGTTGGGTCTGTAGTGAGCAAAACGTGGTAGGGTCTTACCCAGTGCCTGAGAAATGGCAGTGTATACTTACTACATTTTCATCAAGTTTGTCAGGTCGTGAGAACCAGCTGTTTATAGGAATATGCCCCTAAATTGTAGACTTAGTACCAGGGATCTATGGCTATGAGAGATCAAAACAACAATGAAAAACAGTGGACATGGATAGAATAAATCCTGTGGTCGTCTGGTGTTTAGTGTTTCTATTCCATTTTTAATATTCTGTGTTTGCTAGGATGTGGGGTACATTAACTGACACTAAAATAAATGTAACTTACGTTCTCCTTCAGATTTACCAAAAACTTGTCTCCTGACAAAATCAATCTAAGCACCCTGAAAGGAGAAGGGGAACTGAAGAACCTGGAGCTGGATGAGGAGGTGCTCCAGAACATGCTGGATTTGCCCACGTGGCTTGCTATCAACAAAGTGTTCTGTAATAAAGCATCCATCAGGGTAAGGCTTGGCTGTCTGAGGACACTTCTCATGTTGTCTGGTTTTGTTTCTTCTCTGTCCTTTAAAATTAACATTCAACTTCAGATCATTCCATAAAGAAGCATTTTATTCCTATAACTTATACAGAAAATAGCTGCATAAATGATCATTCATCCCTTATGAGTGCGAGGTAATATATTAATAACTTGTATTTAGGTTTTGTTTAAAACAATTTTATTGCTAGTTTAATACAATTAATTTGTTACAAATGAACTCCTTCAGTTTGGCATATATCCAATGATAGCCCTTCCCCCTTAGGTTTCATTGTCAGTTGCAATGATTTACATTTATAATACTTGATTTTAAAGGTAAGAATTGTCATTTACTATTGTAGATATGCTACCATGCTGTTTTAGAGTTTTATTCCCTTTCATGTGTTTCTTTGCAATTTTGAGAAATTTAAGGATTTCTATTTACTTTATTATTGTTAACATTGTTCTTGTTATTCTACTGACTCTTGTTTCTAATCTTATGTCAGTTCCTATAACTTCTTGCTGTTAGATACCAGGCTTAGATTGAGAGGTTGTTCAAGAGAGACATTGCTTGTGAAGGGTTGGTTTTTTTTTTTTTTTGGTTTGTTTTTTTTTAATAAAAATAAGGTTTGTGTTTCCTTTGGAAAAGGGTTCTGTATCCTTTGGTATTCTTTGTTAATTTTTGAGTCTATGACCCAAATATTAACAAAGATGTAATTGGGTATATTTGAACATTGTCTCTTTGTTGTAGCTGGCTTTTCCATCAATAATTTGGATTTATTTTAAATAACTGCAAAATTACTCATTGGAATTCTAAAGTTAAAAAATTAATAAACAGAACAGTGATTATACTTTGCTAAGAATTCTTAAATTATATAATTAAAATATATTTTAAGGACTTAAAAATGTTTCAATGATTTTCTTATATAACATAGATACTCTGATTTCAATAGTATGAATAATTTGTAGTCTAAGAGAGATCTTGCTGCCTGTCTTCTATATACAGAGATGTGTGTTGATTAGTATTTCATATTAATTTTAATAATTCATTTTAAAGAAAATATTTTATTTGTAGATTCCATGGACAAAACTGAAAACACATCCCATCTGTTTGGTGAGTACTGAAGCTGTTTCAAAAATAAGCATTTACATGTATAAATTAACTGTTCTATAAATATTAATATTTTGTTTCTTGGACTCTCCATCTATTAGTTTTTTTATTTATTTTTATTGGGCTTAGTTTGTTTTCAACTTTAAATTAAGAGGAATTTTAAAGTTTTTATTTCTAGAGCATTGTATCCAGTTGGCATATTGTATTTTTTAATTTTTCACTGATATATTATAGCATTCTCCAATAAGTTTTGACTGAGACTTTCTGTGTTCTTGCTCTCCTTGGTCTAGTAAGTTTAGTCATATGTTCTGTAACATACTTCATTTTTTAAAGAAAATTGAGTAAAATAGATCATTTAATCCTTTTTAAACATAATTTATTTATAGATTCTTGGGGAATTTCACATCATTCTCCCTAATTCTGCTCACCTCCCAGTCCTCATCCCCTCAGCCCTGCAGGTCCCCCCAAAAGAAAGTAAAAAAAAAAAACATAGCAAGCAAACAAACAAACACAAAACAAACCTTCGCTGCTCCATCTTTCTCAGCTCTCCAGCACATTCTCCCCCCTGGCATCCGTTTGTCACACGGTAGACCCTTTTGTCCAAGCAGCTTTCCCAGCGAAGTTTCATTGCAGTGAATCATTTAAGTTTTATTTTAGTGTTGTGTGTGTGCTTGCGCACGTGTGCATGCATGCATGCCATGGCGGGCGTGTGAAAGTTAAGGGCAGCGTGTAGGAGTTGGTTCTCACCCTCTACCATGTGTTTCAGCTAGGAAAACTAGGCTGTCCACCTTTTGCAGCGCCTGTTTCTAACTGAGCCTTCTTACCAGCCCTGGATTCCTTACTGATTCAGTCATTCATTCCATAATTTTGGGGTAGTGTTCTAGACTGAATTGGTGTACTTGAACATGTTAATTCCTATTCTTCCTAGCTAGCCTCACTTCATAAGTATTTTTTATAAAATCACCTGTTTTCTCTCTTTTTCTTTCGCTCTTCTCTGTTTTGTTTGTTTTTTTGTTTTATTTTATTTTTAAATTTAAATTAGAAACAAGGTTGCTTCACATGTCAATTCCAGGTCCCTCTCCGTTTCCCTTCTCTCCTCCCACGCCCACCCAACAACTCCTCCAATATCCCCTCATTTCCCCAGGGAGGGTGAGGCCCTCCATGGGGGTGTCCATTGTCTGTCATTTCATCCAGGGCAGGGCCTAGACCCTCCCCCAAGAGTCCAGGGTGAGAGTGCATCTCTCATTGTTGGATGGGTGCCCAAAGTCCATTTGTATATCCGGGATAAATACGGATTTACTACCCAAGGCTCAATTGTTTGTTTCTTTTGAGACAGTGTTTCTCTATGTAGTCCTGGCTGTCCTGGAAGTGTATACGAGGCTGGTCTTGAACTCACAAAGATCCACTTGCCTTTGCCTCACAAGTGCTGGGATTAAAGGTGTGCACCACCACTGCCTGACTGAAATCACATGTTTTTTGAGCTGAAGAAATGTATATTTTAACAGAGGTTGACTGAACAAATAGACAATAAAATGAGATCATTTCAGATAGTGATACATGCTGTATTTAAAATATAGAATGAAGATCTGGATTTGTAGATACACTCACTATTAAAAGCATTAGATACATCTCAAGAAAATAACTATCTGGAAAAGATAACTTTCCTCTTGTGGGAGTGTTTTCATTGCTCATTTTATATTTTGTTTAGTTTTCATTGCTCATTTTATATTTTGTTTAGTTTATGTCTTATATCTCAGGTCTCAAGATAAGACTTTTAGATACAGTTCAGTTCCATTGATTAATATATAACTTATCGGTAATGAGATGATAAAAATGGGTTTGGATATTATGCTTCCATTAAATCGAGTGACCTCATCAGTTAATGGCTGCTTCTGTATTTTCTCCCCCAGACTCATAGAATGTGTATGTAACTTTTTCCACCAGAAGATCAGTGCCTCAGGGAATGACTGAATGCTTTTCTCCCTTTTGCATTTTTACAATTGTTTGCTTTGGTTCTAAATAAATGAAAGATAAAATATACTTCATACTCTCACAGAGCACATAAATGTCTATTTAATTTTTTGTTAGTCTCTAGATAAGGTTGTAATGGAAATGAGAACGTGTGAAGAACCACGAGCCCCTAATGGTCCATCACCAATTGCGACTGCATCAGGACAGAGGTAAACCATGCCCTCTGCTTTGCATGGCTGCTACCGGGTGTTCCTTTCTATGGCTGTGGCTCTCTTATCTGCAGCAGCAGGACAGGAAGAATTTAAATTCCTTTCACCTCAGATACCCTCTGCTTAAGCCACTTCTTTATTACATTTCTACATTTAGTTAGTAGCAGATTATTTTTAAGATTCATCATTTCTCTTGATTATCATATTGTTAAATAGTAATGAATATCCATGGGCAGTGCAGAAGAGCTTAGTCTATAAATCAGATGTGCTTTTAATTTTTCATTCCTGTAGCTAACTGTGGTTTCACTTGCCATGTATTCAGTTAGATGTGACTAGTGACAGTCTAAAAATACGAGATGAAAAATGTTGAAAATCTATGCCTTTATAAAAGATGTAAAAGAATGAATTTTAGCTGCAGATATGGGTCATTCTTTTGTCCAGTGTGTTCACACTGTACAGGGTTAGTCCTTCAGCACTGTGTGTGTTCACACTGTATACAGGGTTAGTCCTTCAGCACTGTGTGTGTTCACACTGTACAGGGTTAGTCCTTCAGTGTGTGTGTTCACACTGTATACAGGGTTAGTCCTTCAGTGTGTGTGTTCACACTGTTACAGGGTTAGTCCTTCAGTGTGTGTGTGTTCACACTGTATACAGGGTTAGTCCTTCAGTGTGTGTGTGTTCACACTGTATACAGGGTTAGTCCTTCAGTGTGTGTGTGTTCACACTGTGTACAGGGTTAGTCCTTCAGTGTGTGTGTTCACACTGTACAGGGTTAGTCCTTCAGCAGCTGCCTGTGTTATCTGATCATCTGTCAGGTATCAGGGCTTTATTTTCAAGTAACTTTTACTTAGTAATGCTAAAAAAAAATCACAGTATGTAAGCTGTTTGCTCTATCTAATATTATTGCATAGGCTTACATATTTTTTTTACTTTATCACAAGATGGGTGTGTGTAGCAAAGGATATTTTGAGTAGATGGAATATTTACTTATCATGTTTCAAACCCTGGATTTATTCAGCAATACATTAACAAATGTGGTTACAAATGACTAGACTCCCAGTCATCAGGAAGGACAGGCAGAAGAATCAGGAGTTGAAGGTCATTCTTGGCTACGTGTTTGAGATCCTGTTTCAAATAGGAGAGCAGGATGAGTGATACCATAATAGACGGAGTCATTTTTGGTTTGAGGGGAGATCTGACTGTAGTGAGATTTTCAGAGATCTATAAGGATGACGCCAACTGGCAAACTAAGCAATAGTGAAGAGAAAACCTTAAATGCCCCTCCCTGATAATGAGTTTGACGACTATCATAAATGCCATCCTAGAACCTCCATCTAGTGACAGACAGAAGCAGAGGCAGACATACACAGCTAAAAACTGAACTCCTGGAACCCAGTGACAGAGAGGGAAGAGTGATGAGCAAAGGGGTCAAGACTGGGCTGGTGAAAGCAGAGAAACAGCTGAGCTCAACAATGGGGAGATCTTGGACCCCAGACTGATGGCTGAGAGGCCAGCATGGGATCTAGACCCCCTGAATGTGGGTGTCAGTGAGGAGGCCTAGACAATCTATGGGACTTGGGGTAGTAGATCAGTATATACAACTGGACTTTGCGTGCCTATCCCACAATGAGGGGTGCTCTCTCAGCCTGGACACTTGGGGGAGGGCCTAGGCTCTGCCCTGAACGAAATGACAGACTCTGGAGATGCCCCATGGAGGGCCTTACCCTCTCTGGGGAACGGAGTGAGGATGCGGTGGGGACTGGGGCCTCTGGTGGGAGCAGGCGAGGAGGGGAGTGGGAGGGAGCTGGGACTGACATGTGAAACAAGCTTGTATAAAATTAAAAAAAGACAATAACACAAAAAAATAAACTCAAAACAAAATTATCCCAAGAATGTCCATATTATCATAACTTTTTTTCTGGGCTTTTCTAGACAGGGTTTCTCTGTGTAATAACTCTAGCTGTCATGGAACTAGCACTGTATACCAGGCTGGGACTCAGAGATCTGCCTGTCTCTCAAATGCTGGGATTAAAGGTTTGTGCCACCACTGCCTGGCCTCTTTAACTTATTGCCATGTATTGTTATACTTGCTCTTTGATTATTCAGGCAACCATTAGGGGTCTTAGAATATTAATTTTCTCTGCACCTCATTTCCTATGCATCAATGAGATTTTGTTATTCCTAAAAGTTAAATGATGTGGTAGGCAGAGACAGGTGGATCTCTATGAGTTTGAGTCCAGCCTGGTCTACAGAGTGAGTTCCAGCCAGGACTACACAGAGAAACCCTGTCTCGTAAAACCAAACCAAAATAAAACAAAACAAAAGATATCTCTATAAATTATAGATCTTTGGGTATACTATAAAATTCATATCCAGGCATGGTGGTACACTCTTTCATCCCAGCACTCAGGAGGCAGAGGCAGGTGGATCTCTGTGAGTTCTAGGTCAGCCTGGTGTAGAGTGAGTTCCAGAATAGCAAAGGCTACACAGAGAAACCCTGTCTCAAAAAACTAGAAAAGAAAGACAAAAGGAAGGAAGGAAGGAAGAAAAAAGATAGAAGCATGTGGACTATTTCATAACGCTCTATTGAAAAGTTGAAATAGATTTTTAAGGATAACTTGTTTATGGGACTGGAGAGATGGTTCAGGAGTCAGGATTACTTGCTGCTCTTACAGAGGATTCAGCTGTGATTGCCAGAACTGAAATGACTGTGTATAACCTTCTGAGATTCCTGCTCCAATGTCCTCTTCTGGCTGCTGTGTACTCGCATACGTGTAGGCAAAATACTCATATGCATAAAATCGAAATGTGACTAGTTTAGGAGCTGGTGTGCTGGCTCAGCAGATGAGGGCTCCAGGGATTGCACTGGAAGAGAGCGCAGCTCAAGCTGATGTGTTGCTTCCTGTCTGTCTGTATGATGTCATCCATCCTGTGCTGAGATGATGGAGAGCTGTGCTCAGTGGATGTAGAGCTTAGATTTGGGTCACAAGTGACAGCGACAGGCTGTCATGGTAGCTTTATAATTTCTTGTCTGTCTAGAAACTTTTGAGATTTTATAGTATGGATTAAATTTTATGTTTTGTAGTTGCTTTTTAGATTGGTTAGAGCCCGAAACAATTGGAGAAAGATTAGAAATACTTTCACAGTTACTGAAAGAGATAAAGAAAAGTAGGAAAATGTATAGTAAGAATGATTTCTTTTGCATTTTTTGTTTTAGAAATGTGAGTTAGATATTAGGGATTTGTATATGTGAACCTCTATGAGACTATTAGCATCGTTTTTTAATGACTTTATTTTGGTTTTGTTTTGCTTTGTTTTTCCAGTGAATATGGCTTTGCTGAAAAAGTTGTTGAGGGAATTACTGTTTCTGTCAATTCCATTGTCATCAGAATTGGAGCAAAAGCTTTCAATGCTTCCTTTGAACTATCTCAGCTCCGAATCTATAGTGTCAACGCACACTGGGAACATGCAGACTTGAGGTTTACTCGTGTTCAAGATCCACAGAGAGGAGAGGTAACAGGCTTTCTTCTTATTAGATAAATAGAGACATTTAAAATAATCACATCAATGGTCAGCAAGATGGCTCAGTGGGTAAGGGTATTTGTTGCCAAGCCTTATGATATAAATTACATCCCTGGAACCACAGGGTAGAAGGAGAGAACTGTTTCCTGCTGAGGCACGTGGGTGCCCACACATATGTACACGTAAACACACATGCACACATAAACACACATGTATACATAAACACACATGCACACAAAATCAATTTAAAATACAACTGGATGGCTTAGCAGCTAATTCTTGATGCTATTTCAGAAGACCTGAGTTTGGTTCCCAGGGCCTGCACTGGGAGACTCACAGCCACCTGTAACTATTTCCAGGGGGATCTGACTCTTTTTTTCTGGCTTTATAGGTACATGCACATATGGTACACATGCTTATACTTATGTGTGTATGCATGCACACACACACACAAATAAAATAAAATACTTACATTTATGGTTGTCCAGAATCACATTGTAGTAGATTTTCTCTTCTGGACTTTTAATCTAAATAGTTTAATCATAAAATGTTGGTATTTCAATGTTTTCCTATAAACATCTTTCACCTTATGGAAGTAATGAGTCCTACTTTTTAATTAAAATTTTTTTTGTGTGTGTGCGTGCATGTGTGTCCGTGTGTGTGTTTATGCCTCTGTATGTATGTCTTTACAAACATGAATACATGTGTGTGTGTACACATGTGTGTGCATGTGTGTACGTGTGACTATTTGTGTCTGCATGTATGTGTCTATGCCTGTACAGGTGTGTATGTGTTTGCAAGCATGTGTGTGCGGGTGTATACATGTGCATATGTGTGTGTGTGAATGCATGTTTGTATCATGGCATGTATGTGGGGGTCAGAGAATGACTTTGTGGAGTCACATCTCCTCTATTTATGTGGGTTCCAGGAATCAAGTTCAGTCCAGCATTTCATAGTAAGCGCCATTAGCTCCTTTTGAATTTTATTCAGACACTGTTTTAGTCATGACTCTAGTGCTGCTTGTTGTTTATGTTGTTTCCTAAATGAAAGTACCAATTGTCTTATAGGTGAGTATAATTCTGAATGTATGTTGTTGAATCTGATAAAGTATAAAAGTTGTATAATGAATATTTTTATAATGTCGCAAAAATTAGTTGGGAAGGTCCATTTTGCTTTTATAAATGTACACTTTCTCATTTTGCATGAGCATGCATTCCTAATCTCTGTTTTCTTCTTAGGTTCTGACATTTAAGGAAATAAATTGGCAGATGATTCGAATTGAAGCAGATGCCACCCAAAGTTCACATCTTGAAATTATGTGTGCTCCTGTTCGATTAATAACTAACCAGTCAAAAATTAGAGTCACCCTTAAAAGAAGAGTAAGTCTGATTGCCTTTTTGTGTTAGTGTTAAATAGTCAGGTGGAACACTGACACCAGGAGTTATGTATCCAGACAGTGTTGGCAGATGGAGGGGGACTGGTGCCCTCAGTCAAGTTTATGGGAAGGTAGCATAGTTGTTATAGCACTCCTCATCTGATACATGAGTATTTAAGTGCTCAATGGTCTGGTTTTTAGTTAGTTTTTTTAATAATTTATTTTTATTTTATGTGCATTTGGTGTTTTGCTTGCATATATGTGTATGTAAAGATATCAGATCTTGGAGCTACAGACAGCTGTGAGCTTCCAATTGAATGTGGGTCCTCTGGAAGATCAGTCATTTCTCTTAACTGCTGAGCCATCTCTCCATAGCCTGACTTTTTTTCTTTTTAAGATTAGATATTTGTTGACTATTTACCGTCTTACAGTTGCGTTTCACAGGTTGGGAGTGTAACTTGTGGTAGAATGCTTACTTAGCACGAATAACGAGTTCAGTCCTCAAATGCAACTAGGGGTGGGAGGGATGAGGAAGTTGAGGAGGAGGAAGGAGAAATTTCTCTTACTGCGTTTTGCTCACCGATGGTTTTTATACTGGTAGTGAAGCCTTTAATCTTCAGATTTTGCTGGAGAGGCAGGCATGGTGGCATGCACCTTTAGCCCAGCACTTGGAAGGCAGAGTTGCCGTTCCAGTTCCACAGAGACCCTGTCTCAAATAGACATAAAAGGTGTTGCTGGTAACTTAGATAAATGAAGAAACTAGCATTAAGACTATTGGAGCCCGAGAGTCCACTGGGTATGGTGATGAAACTGAATGAGGAGGGGATACTTTTAAAAACGGCTAATTAAAGACTCCACAGAGTGCCGTGTGCTTTTTGTATCAGTGCTTACCAGCATCAGTAACGGAGGCAAGTCCGCTGAAGGGAGTCTGCTCCGAGTGTAACAGAGACTCCCTGAAATGTGAAATGCGGGTGAAATGGCCTTTTGGTATTTGATGATTGTAATTCCACTTTCTCAAGTAGGATGAGTTCAGTTAATAGAAGTGGTTATGATCTGTCAACTGCACATAGAAATTATACACATGTTATGTAACTTCAAAAACTTGTCAGTCTTTTTTAGCACTATCATCTCTAACTTTGGGAAATATTCTTCTTATCTTATTGGAACTCAATAAATATTTGTTACATTTTCATTGTTATTTATCTCATGAGAATTGTGATACATTCTATGCTATGTTTAGAGGTCAGAGGATCATTTAGGGCTGTTGGTTCTCTCCTTCCAGTATATGGGTCTTGAGGTTTGAGCTCAGGTCATTAGGCTTGGTTGCAAGTGACTTTGCCTCCTGAGCCGTCTTGAAGGCCTAAATACTTAATTGAATGAAGGAATTATAGCCACATTTAATCCTATTAAAAATTTACTCTTTTAGTTTTGGTTTTTTTTTTTTTTTTTTTTTTTGGTTTTTTACGAGACAGGGTTTCTCTGTATTGTTTTGGAGGCTATCAGTCCAGCCCAGCCTCGAACTCACAGAGATCCGCCTGCCTCTGCCTCCCGAGTGCTGGGATTAAAGGCGTGCACCACCACCGCCCGGCTAAAAAATTTACGCTTTTAATAAATGTAAGTGTGTTATGTTTTATTCTTGGATTAATTTTCTAAATCATTTTTTATTGCAGTTAAAAGACTGCAATGTCATTGCAACAAAGTTGGTTCTAATACTGGACGATTTGTTATGGGTTTTAACGGATTCCCAATTGAAGGCTATGGTGCAATATGCAAAGTCTCTTAGTGAAGCAATAGAAAAGTCAACAGAACAAAGGAAGAGTATGGCTCCTGAACCTACACAGGTATGCTACAAATTCACAGAAAAAAAGACAATGTATAACTTAGTTTAAACAGATAGGTGAGTTGGTATTTCCTTTGCATGAACCATGTATTTCCTGTATCTAAATCTAAATTGGTTACAGTATAATGTTAAATATGACATTAAATATAATGTTAAATATGACATTACTGTGTGTCTAGTGCTTGTTTTGTTTGGGGCTTTTTGTACAGGGCATAGAATGATTGACAGTGTAGAAGCATTTGATGGTATAATGCATGTGTTTGCACACCCATGCAAGCGTGGAATACGGAGCATAGTGAGTCTCCCACTTGATCTCCCTGCATCTTATTTCCTTGTGATAGTCTCTCACTGAGCTTGCTGCTAGAAGGCAGTCAGCCCCAGTAATCTTCCCCTTCCTCTCACAGTGCTTGTAGTTGGCCGTGCCCCACTTTTTAACGTGAGTGCTGGAGACTTGAACTCAGGTCTTTGCACTTGTACCAGTAAGTGCCTTCATGCACGGAGTCATCTCCTAGTCCAATAATCCTGTTCAGGAGGGAAAAAAATCCATTTTTAATTTTTTAAAGTGAAGGTAAATAGAAGTAAAACCTGGGTTTTATAAGAGAAGGCATTGAAGGCTGGCAGCATAGATAGCTACATTAAAGCTGAAAACAAAACTTCTGTTAGAATTTTCTGATGGCTAGTGGTGGATTGGCGATAGGGAATCAGAAGCATCAGTTTATCTGAATAAAAAAGCATTGTTTTTTTCAGTCTTTACCAGTATTCAGTTCTGATTGATAATACATAAACATCTTAATAGAAAGGACATGAAAACTTCCAGTGGGTAGCATATTTGATTATTTTATTAAAATTAGAAATAAATTGTATAACTTCCTGTCGTAAAATTTATGAGATGTTACAAAATCATACTTCTATGAAGTTTTTTGATGCAGTGTTATGTCTCAGCAATCTCAGCTTATTGGTGATGGAGCATGGTACTTGGACATGACATTCATTGTAGACTTTCAGTGCTGTTCATGTTGGCACTGTTTACTGCCTGCCTGCTTACATGAGTACGTAGGTACTTGTTTTAATGGGGGAAAATATGTGCCCCCACCTTCCTTCGAGCCTCAGGATGTTACAAAGAGTAGACTATAAACACTTCCGTTCTGCATAAGCGTCACAGGGAGGGACTGAAAGAGTGGGGTGGGGGGCAGGAGCACAGACGCTTCAAACTGAGTTTCTGCAGAATTTAGAGAGGTTTTATAAGGACCATAATGGGATTGTGTCTTAATGAAGAACCAAGTTAAATTAAAAAAAAAGGAAAAGGAAAAAAGAAGAAGAAGCACCAAGCTAGGGAGATGGCTCAGTGGGAAAAGTGCTTGCTGAGCCATCATTAGGATCCAAGTTTGGATCCCAGCACCCACAAAATGCCACACGTAATGTAAGCATCTCTAGCCCCAGTGCTCCTGTGGCAAGCTGGGAGTGCAGGCAGGAGTGTGCCATTGGCAGATGGAGGTGGAAACAGGAGAATCCCGAAGCTTGTCGGCTGCCTGTCTTAGCCATGAGAGGGATCTTGCTCAAGTTAGGTGGAAGGTGAGATTGTTCTCGGACCTGCACACACACTGGCGCGCTGAGACCTGTGTTCACACAGCATGCACGCACCCTGCACTCTGTTCCTGAGCTTCTATTTTAAGGAAATTGAATTCCATACCTTCTACCTTAATGTGCCTTTATTTCTTCCGATGGCCTGAGAATATGCTTCCTTTGGATGTTGCACGTGCCAGAGCTGCACTTACCTTACTTAAGAAGTGGAAGGCACCTCTTACAGTTCCCCAGGCTGTGATGGGTTTGTCCAGGAGGAACAGATACTTCTGGGAACAAGACAGGAAATTTGAAATATGTGCTGCCAGAAACCAGTGATTCGCATGACTATGTGACAAATGACTTCCATTATTTTGTTTTGAATACGTCTGGAGAGGTGCTAATGTACCTTAGGATGAGCTGTAATAGGATTGGATTATTGGAAGTAATAGCATATGGTGAAGCACATTGTAAATCATAGCATGTAATTTGGAATGTGAAGCACTAAATTCCAGTTTTAAAACAAATTCTCATCCACACTACCTGTTGGTGTGAACAATGTTTTACAGAGCATGTAGCCAGGAAAACAAGTAAGTATCTACAGAACTGATGACGAACGAGTCTTGTCCCATTCTGCCGCTTTTGTAATGCTTATCCATGTGGCATTTTCTAAGTTCTTTGGGGAGGGGAGTCTAATTAATTTATGTTTACTTTTTTTTTATTTTATTTTTGAGACAAGGATCTTACTATGTAGCCATGGCTGACTTGAAACATACTTTTTAGGCTGCCCTTGAACTTAGGTAGCTCCGCCTGCCTCTTCCTGCTGAGTGCCAGTAGGTGTGTCACCTAATTAAATGTAGGAACAGCCTGCTGGGCTGAAGCAGGGCAGTTTTCCCGCACAGCGGAGTGGGTAGACAAGGGAGCTTCATACATATTGGCGTCTTGGCACTAGTAGGGATTTTCTATGGGGAAGTTCAGTCAGATTTATGACAGCATTCCAGAAGATGAGCTAAAGAGAGGACAGAGAATGGGGCCAGTCTAGAGGACGTGAATGTGAGTTTTTGAAAATGACTTGAAAGACATATCAATCCGGATTGCAAAGCAGTACCTACCTACATCTTCCAGAAGTTAGGGCTAAGGATGCTGAGGACTTAATGATAACTCGTAGTTCTATTAGCAATAAGAAGAAATAGAGAGGAGGAAGAAGCTTTAATTGAAGAGGTGAGGGTGAGGAAAGCTAACAGTGTAAATGTATACAAATATTTACTGAAATTTATTTGGCTTACAGTTAGGTTGTGTATAGTTCTCCAGTTGTTTAATCTAGATTTTATCTTTATATAATTCAGAAGGTATTTTAAGGCAGCTGAGCTACTGATACAAAACATACTGGATTATGCTCATTTTTCATGAGTTTATTGCTGGAAATATTCTGAGGATGTGACCAGGTAGTGATAATGTGGTTTGGAATCTTTAGAGTGCTACTGCAGCCTCATCTGTCCAGCATGTGAAGAGCCCACAGGCTGTCAACACTCCCGATCTAAATGATGCAATTGTAAAATGCTTCAATGATTATGATGTTAAGGAAACCTCCCATCACCTAGTGATTTCTCATCTAGATCTACACATCTGTGATGATATTCACACAAAAGAAAAAGGTAATCTTACATCAAACTATCTTGGCTTTTGTATAAATTGACTACAAAACTATTTTGTATTATATATTATCAATTAAATATCATCACTCAGATTGGTATGTAAATAAAACATTTATTTTATTTGGCGTTGGTACTTAATACTTGTTTAATTAACTGTTGGGTATCAATGCTAACAGTAAAATCAGGTTTACAAATTGGCCAAATGTGGTAGTACGTACCTTTAATCACAGTATTCACAGATCTCTGTGAATTTGAGGCCAGCCTCCTAATATACATAATGAGACCCTGTCTGAAAATAGCAACAATAACAAAGACCGTATAAATAACATTCTTGAATAAAATAACTTAGAATTGTCGTTTGAAATTACCTATGAATTTTATCCTATAGTCTATTCATTAAGTATTTACCTGTAATATGGGGCTGGAGAGATGGCTCAGAGGTTCAGAGCACTGGCTGCTCTTCTAGAGGTCCTGAGTTCAATTCTCAGCAACCACACGGTGGCTCACAACCATCTGCCGTGGGATCTGGTGCCCTCTTCAGGCCTGCAGGCACATAGGCAGAGTGCTATATACATAATAAATAAGCGAGTCTTAAAAAAAAAGTATTTACCTGTAGTGAGTATTGTAGTTAACTCACCTATCTATGAACCTGTGTGGTATTGGTATTTCGCCTGCAAGTGTGTCTGTGTACTGGTGTGTGCCCAGTCCCTCTGAAGGCCAGAAGAGAATGTGGATCCCTTGGAACTAGAGTTACACATGGTTGTGAGCTGCTGTGGGGGTGCTGGAAATTGAACTCAGTACCTTTGGAAGAGCAGTCAGTGCTCTGAACCTCTAAGCCATTTCTCCAGCCCTGAATCCATATTCTCTGTACCCATAAAGACAACTGTGTGCTCTCTAATGTTGTATCTCCTGCTCTGTCTCCCCGGCTTTTCATACGGAACCTGACTCCTGTTTTAACCCTTATCCCTGCGTTCAGCCTTACTGAGTAGATTAGGGTAATAGGGCAGGCAGGAAACTGCTCTTGGTCATTTTGAAAATCCAGGTTCCACACTTTCGTCTTCTCTGTCACAGTTTGAATGGCCCACAGTGATGGGAGAGTTCAGCAGGCAGGCTTACTTCAGGGACAGTGTTATATCATTTTGGTGAGTGTTAGAATGAAGCGAAGATCCCTTAGAAACTGAGATATTTGACCTAGGATTTTCAGGCCTGCTTTAGAATATCCTTTGGATTTTGTTGTTTTTAAATCTGAGAAAGTATTTTAGGTGCTTAGGAGAAGAAATTATTCTCTAGTCATCAAAGAAATCAGGAGGAATCGACCAACAGGTGAAAGGGTAGTAGACTTACAATCCCAGCCACTGGGATCTTCAGGCAAGAGGATCACAAATTCAAGGCCTGTGTGGGTCACAAGTGAATTCAGAGCCGTGTAGACCCTCTCTCAACTTTCTTTAAGTCTGGGGGAATACATATCTCTGATAGCAAGCACACTTGATGGCATGTGAGAGGCCCTAGGTTCAGTCAGTCCCCAGTACTGCCAAAAAGTGGGCAGGGTTGGACAGCAGAGCAGAAGATTCGGGGTTCGTAAAGCAATTTGTTGTCATTTTCTTTGCCTGCTTTATGTCTTTTGGTTTATAGTTGTCACTTATGCTTTAGTGATTGAAAAGGACAAACTAAAAAAAATGTTAAAGCATAGTAACAAAATGAGATGGTAAAACGAAGCATTCTTGCTTAGAATTTTCTAAGCTCTGGCATTCCTGCTATTACTCCCTTAGAAGCACACTGGACGATGTCTCCCACGCTCTAGTTCTGTAGTGACTGCTCCCTCATAAACACACTGGACGATGTCTCCCACGCTCTAGTTCTGTAGTGACTGCTCACTCATAAACACACTGGACGATGCCTCTCACGCTCTAGTTCTGTAGTGACTGCTCCCTCAGAAACACACTGGACGATGTCTCCCACGCTCTAGTTCTGTAGTGACTGCTCCCTCATAAACACACTGGACGATGTCTCCCACGCTCTAGTTCTGTAGTGACTGCTCCCTCAGAAATACACTGGACGATGCCTCTCACGCTCTAGTTCTGTAGTGACTGCTCCCTCATAAACACACTGGACGATGTCTCCCACGCTCTAGTTCTGTAGTGACTGCTCCCTCATAAATACACTGGATGATGTCTCCCACGCTCTAGTTCTGCAGTGACTGCTCCCTCATAAACACACTGGATGATGTCTCCCACACTGGATAGTTCTGCAATGACATCTCTGTTGTGAAATCCTAAAGGCTCCAAAATACTCATCAGTTTGCAAAAACCTCAGATGGTGAAAACTAACCAAGACACTTTTTTTATTACCATGTTTAAATGTCACACATTTGGTAGGTTTTGTTGCAGAATACTACTTTTGTTACGGAGTACTACCTCAGAAACTACTCATAATGTGCTTTGTTCATACCATATCACTTTCAAATAACAAAAACAAAAAAAGCAAAAATTCTGAGTACTGAAACAAATAGCTCCAAACACTTGGAGGTCAGAGAACAGCATTTGGGAGTCTTTTCACTTTGAGAGCTGGGAACTGAATTCAGGTTATGGGTGGGGCTTGCTGATACATGTTTTAACCTGCTGAGCTGTCTCATGGGCTGACATCAAAGCTTCAGATGAGAACTGCAGAGCTATGCTAAAAGTTACATTAGTTGATATAAACCGGAGTTAACCAATTATGTTAGGTGTGATTGCTATTGCTACTTGGAATATGAGTTTTGTAAAGCTTTTAATGGTAAATTCAGTGTTTCAAATATTTGCTTAGTGTTTCTCTCCCTCTCCTTCCCGCCCTTAATTCTTTTTCTCTTCCCAGAGTCAAATAGACGTATTAGTGGAGGTGCTATGCAGCTCTCTTTCACACAGCTGACCATAGATTATTATCCTTATCATAAAGCAGGTGTGTATAATAATGTATTTAAAATATGCAAATCTTGCTTTTAAAATGACATAGCCAGTAATTTTTTTAATTTAATTGTCCATTTGTTTTAACTTATTAAGTAGAGACAAAGTTACTATTATTATTTTTCCTCTGGCAGCATTTTACCAAGAATGTAGAATTGTCTTAGAAATATATTGAGATTCATGTAGATTGGAAAAGGAATCCAGTTTGGGCCAAGGTATCACTAAATGGTTGAGTACTTGAATTGCATGTTTGCAGCTGTAGGCTCCATCCACAGCATCACAGATGGAGTAGGGAGAAAGAGGGAGGTGGATAGAGTAGAGGAAAGAATTAAAATTATCTAAAATACTAAATACATGCTTTAAAACTAGTAAATAATTTAGAATATAGCAGCATGTATTATTTTCTTATTTATGACAAATCATTAGTCAATAGTTTGAATTTTTAGATGATACTGGAATTTTTTCCACTTTTCTGTATTTTGAAATTCATCAGTAAATAAGATTTAATAGGCTCTTTATCATCAAGTATTGATATGTTCTTTTCTCTTAAAGAGCAAAAACAAAGTAGATTGATTTATTGTTAACTAAGAATTTGATCATCACATCTATCTCTGAATTTTGGTAGTATTTGTTTTTCTCTTGTAATTTACAGTAATAAGAGAAAATCAAAATCAAAATATAATAACCAGGAGTTATAAAAAGTAGTAAGACTGTTACATTCAGGCTCCTTTGTCTGTGCCTATTACTTCTCTGTTGGCACAGGCAGATTTAGAAACTGTTGTTTGTCCCTGTGTCTTTTGGGGAGCTGTGTCTCAGGGCCTGTCCTAGTTGGGAAGGTTTACAGAACATTTCAGCTGGCTGCTGTGCTGTCACAGGTCTGTGAGCCCAGCACTAGGGGGATGTAGGAGGATGCCTACCTAGCACAAGAGGGATGCAGGAGGATGCCCAGCACCAGGGGGATGTAGGAGGATGCCCAGCACCAGGGGGATGCAGGAGGATGCTCAGCACCAGGGGGATGCAGGAGGACACCCAGCACCAGGGGGATACAGGAGGATGCCCAGCACCAGGGGGATGCAGGAGGACGCCCAGCACCAGGGGGATGCAGGAGGACGCCCAGCACCAGGGGGATGCAGGAGGATGCTCAGCACCAGGGGGATACAGGAGGATGCCCAGCACCAGGGGGATGCAGGAGGATGCCCAGCACCAGGGGGATGCAGGAGGATGCCCAGCACCAGGGGGATGCAGGAGGATGCCCAGCACCAGGGGGATGCAGGAGGACACCCAGCACCAGGGGGATATAGGAGGATGCCCAGCGATACAACCTCTGTTTCTAAGGAAGAGTAAAGCTTTCTAACTGTGGAGGTTATTCTTATTTCAGAAGAGAAAACAGTCATAGAGCAGGTTTTATTGTCTTTTGTATGTACCTGCAACTTCTCTTAAGTCATTACAAATAACCTAATCTAGATTTTGTTTTGTCCTCTCAAAACGTGTATCTGTTTATGAATGAAACCTGTGTTGTGCAGTTTTGTTGTTTCCTTAAATGTTTGATAACCATCATCTTGACAGCTTTAGTAGATTATGGTTGGTCATTTACAACAAGTCTTGATGGAAGAATTTTTCTCTTGGTGTTTTTCTGAGATTCTTTATAGTAACTGTTTGCCAGGTAATTAAACATCTACTAAAAATTGCCCAAATCTTTAGCTTTGAATTGAACATTGTTTCACCAAAGATAGGTTCTAGATAGAAAGTCTTCTAGGTTATTTGTTTTTGAGACTTTTTCCTCTGTCTCACTCTTATTTTGTTATAAAAGTAAATTGATTTTCTTTTATGTGATTTAAGCTTGGTATGGTGACCCCTCCTGCAATCAAGACCCTCTTTCAAAACAGAGCAAAATCGACTCTCTTGAGAAAATGACTAACTTTTATAAAAAGTCTTGCTTTAACAGAATAAAAAAATGCATACATGCAACGAAGTTACTTTTATTCATTTTTACAGGAGATAGTTGTAATCATTGGATGTATTTTAGTGATGCAACCAAAACAAAGAATGGATGGGCTAATGAGTTGTTACATGAATTTGAATGCAACGTTGAAATGCTTAAGCAGGCTATGAAGGATCATAATGTGGGTTCACCTCCTAAATCCCCAACACATGCCTCTCCCCAGCACACACAAACAGGTATGTCACCAGATGGTATTGCCCTAATATTCAAATGGGGAGGGGGAAAGCAGAGAATGAGAATGTATTTTTGTAGACATTATTTCTAAGTATTATTTTAAATTCAAAAGATGTAGACTAATAGTTGTATAGATGAAAACACTTCAAAATGGTTTTATTTTTAATAATGTATATGTGTATATGTTTGTGTATGGGTTTATGCACATGTGTGCAGTGCCTGTGGAGTCAGAAGAGGAAATGGGATTCCCTGGAGTTGAATTTATAGGTAGTTGTGAGCTGCATAACATGGGTCTTGGGAACCAAACTTGTTTCCTTTGCAAGAGACTATGAGCTTTTAACTGCTGAGTCAGCTCCCTGGTCCTCAACACTTTGCACATTAGTGTAACCAATAATAGTAATATCCACTTAGAATAATTAGATTCTCAAGTGCCTTGTTAATTTTTCACTTTTAACATAGTGAGAGAGTGACTTAAAATATAATTAAAATATGATTCTTGTTTTAAAAAATGAGCATTACAAAGCATACTTATATTCGTATGTAATATCTTGTTTGAGAAATTTAGCATTCACCTGTTGTAGCTTTCTCTACAACAGAAGATGCTATGAAAAGTGATCTCATAGTGAATTGAAAGTTTTCTGTATCTCACAGAGAAAGGGACCCCTAAAGCATCTTCAGTGTTAACTCAGCCGTCCAAAGCAAAGCTGATGTCCAGCTCTGTTGTTGTTAGACTTGCAGATTTCAATATATACCAGGTATGTATTAAGTCTTCTCATTTCAAGCAACACAGGTATATAATCCCACCATTTATTTATGTAACTGTCTTGAATCAGACAAACTGAAGTCAAGGGAGTGGTACCACAGGTTGTTTCAAGTTCCGGGGCTCCCTAAGGTACACCCGGGTTCAATGCTGCACTCACACTACTCACAGAACTCACTGGAATCTGTTACATTCACTTTGATTGTAAAGAAAAAGGATACAAAGTAGAACCTGCCATAGAAATACTGCCCAGGGCATAATCTCGAAGTCTTTTGGATGTAAAATTCAGGTTGTTGATGTAGCTTAGTGGTGGAGAGCCTCCTTAGCATTCAGAGGACCCTGGGTCTCTCCCTAGCCCCACAGTGCAGATGTGTACTGCAGACATGAAGTATTGCTTTTGTGGTTGACTTAATCTTGAAGTAGACTGAAGGCAGATGACCAACGTCTTCCCTGACCTCTAACCACTAATAGGACTATCGAGTGTGACCAGCCTAACCTACAGTCTTCTGGTTTGTATACACCCATCAGTTGACATTGTGAGTAGGAAATTGCAGTTTGTGGTTATCTCTGGGGAGCATGAACAAAGCCCAGAGCTCTTCATGGAGATCAAATTTCTTACAGCACAGTGGTCTGTGTGGAAGAAACTGAAATGCCTTTTTGCTGAACTCAACTTTATAAACTGTGCTGAGAGTTTATTTATTTTTTTTTTGTGAATTTACTTTTATGTGAAGAACTCTACCCCATATGCACTGTTTTACTTAAGCTGTAATCATAATCTTCAAGAGTAACAAAATTATATTTTGCCCCCCCTTTTTTTTTGGTTTCTTGTGGCAGGGTTTCTCTGTGGCTTTGGAGGCTGTCCTAGAACTAGCTCTTGTAGACCAGGCTGGTCTTGAACTCACAGAGATCTGCCTTCCTCTGCCTCCCGAGTGCTGGGATTAAAGGCATGCACCACCACCACCTGGTTTATTTGACTTATTGTTAAAAATAAAGACATTTAGGTTCGTATAATTATAAGTTGTTCTCATTTATTGTGGTAAGTCTATTGCTTTATTTGAAAAGTTTACATTTAAGTATTCTGAAAGGCCTGATTATTTTCTCATTTTGCAGTACCTTTCTTTACAAACTATTTATAGTGCAGCTTATTTACTTGTTATTGATTTCTTTTTTTCCTTTGCAACAGGCTCTCGTGTAGCATAGGCTAGCTTGAGTTCCCTATGTAGCTGAGGCTGGCCTTGAGCTGTTTTTATTCCTGCCTCTACCTCCTGAATGCTGGGGTTACAGTCATGCATCACCACACCCAACTTTAAAGTAAACTTTAAATCTTAACATTTAAGTAAAACCATAGATAAATGAGGGAGAGTAATTACTCATAATCTCAAATTGTTCATAGTTAACGTAGTGAGGAGACTCTGTATCCAGAAACATAAGAACCACAAAAGTAAAAGTGCCAGAAAATAGGGATATTTCATCTCAATTTTTGTAACTTTTATAATTAAAATATGCTTTTGTTTTTAAGTTGACATAAGTTGTATATGCAGGGGAGTTTTTAAATTATACAGTGTAAACTGTCTCAAATCTGTGTTACAAATAACCAGAAAGTTTGATTATTTCAAGAAGAAACACTGTCAAAATGTATTCTCTTAATACTTCATATAAGACATAGACACATGTGGATCTCAGCAGGTGAAGGTGTTTACTTCCAAGCCTGACAGACCTGGCTTTGACCCCTGGGACCCACGTGATAGAATGAGAGAACTGACTTCCTGCTGCATGTGGACTGTGGCATGTGTGCACTTACACACTCATACACACACACACACACACACACCAACCACCACCACCAACAATAATGTAACAACAGTAGTAATACATGAAAAAGAAACATTCACATTTGTTGAATAAATGAAACAGAACAGTTTCCAAGCCTGCCTACTTAGCCTCAATAAATAAATGGATAAAATGTCACTGGTTGAGAATGAGTGCACTCTTTTTTTTTTGGTTTTACGAGACAGGGCTTCTCTGTGTTGTTTTGGAGGCTATCGGTCCAGCCCAGCCTCGAACTCACAGAGATCCGCCTGAGTGCACTCTTTATTATAGTGGCTCTCCTTGTCACTAAGGTTGGCCTGGATTGTACAGTGCTGGAGATTGAACTCAGGGAATGTACACACCCCCAGCCCAATGAGTACATTTCCTTGATGTAATTACAAATGATCCATTAGTAGAGAGAGTGAAAACAGTATATCCAGGGCCTTAAAAAACAATAGTTCTCTTGGAAATAATTAAGAAAACAAATTATTTGACTCAACTATTTATACTTATATTGTGTTTTACATCAGTTGTTTCTGTAAAATTGACACACTTCTATATTATTATTATTATTATTATTATTTTGTTTATTGAGACAAGGCTTCTCTGTTTAACAGCCCTGGCTGTCTTGGAACTAACTTTGTAAACAGACTGACAGATTTATTTGTTTGTTATGTATACAATACTCTGTCTGCATGTTTGCCTGAACACCAGAAGAGGGCATCAGATCTCATCATAGATGGTTGCTGGGAATTGAACTCAGGACCTCTGGAAGAGCAGCCAATGCTCTTAAGTCTGAGCCATTTCTCCAGCTCTTATTATAATTATTTTTAAATTGTAATTCACTGATAGTAAATACATTCACATTGGGTGACTGCATCACCATCCACCTGCAGTTTTCTTTTTTTCTTTTCTGTATTGCAAACTCTAGAATGCTTTCATAATAGAGAATCTATGATGAATTATAAAGAACATACTGGGCAACTATTCTGCCCTTGATTTTTCTCTGTGTCTTGAATCTGCCACTTATTTATCTATATTAACTAATCATATACAGTTATTGCTATTTTCCTGTCATTTTTAAGGCCCAAAATAGTAAGTTTACTGAAGATAGTATACAAAGTGAAGCCTTTTTTTTTTCTGGAACAGGGTTTTGCTGTGTAATAAAGTTAAGTTTTTAATTGATAAAGATCTGAATTGGCTAGTTTTCTGAAAGATTGGTGAATATTTCATTTTGAATGTTATTTTTGTACTTTTATTTGTATATTTAGCATGTTACCCACACCCTTACCCCTGCACACAACACAGCACATACGTAGAGGAGAGAGGACAACTTGTAGGACTGTTTTCCTCACCATGCGGCTTCCAGGGATGCAACTTAGGGCGTCAGGCTTTGCAGCAAGTGCCTTTACCCGAAGAGCCCGGAAGTGCTCCTAAGATTGAAAGGGATGTGTGTGTATGTTGTTAAAGTCTTTGGAAGGGGCTTTATTCTCTGTAGTCAAAGCAACCTTTCTTTCCCAGGTATCTACGGCAGAACAATGTCGCTCTTCCCCCAAAAGTATGGTTTCCTGCAACAAAAAATCCCTGTATCTTCCACAAGAAATGTCAGCTATCTATATAGAGTTCACAGAATATTACTATCCAGACGGCAAAGATTTTCCAAGTAAGAGAGCTTACCTTGTTATTGTTTGTTCATTACTGAATTTTTGGATGAATAGTTTGGGTTTTATTAATTTATGGAGGAAAATTTACTTTTATCACTGTGCTTAAGATATGCTTTTTATATGAAAATTGTCCACATTGTTAATAATTGTTCATATGTTCTTTTTTCTCTGTATTGTGGCATCTTTGATGGCAGGAATCTTCAGGCATTTGTCACTGATTTTATGTGCTTTTATCCTGCTCTTTTGTGCTTACTAGCTATTTGTTTAATGAAGTATGAATGAATGTTATTGGAGAAAATTGTCTTTTTTTTCCATTTAGGAAAATTTCATTGGCAAGTCAGAATTATAAAACTCTATTTTATTAAAAATGAAAAATTGAAGTTTCTTTTTAGCTTCCTAAAGTTAAATAGCTTTCTAAACTTTTTTGGCTTCCTGAAATTAAAATGATTATACATTTGTTTATTTGAATATTAAAAATATGTGCTTTTGTTTCTTCCTTGTATTGTGATCTTGCATGTGTGTGGTATGTCCTTAGCACAATGCATAAAATATAGACCTTCAGTGAATCTTTTGTGAGTGAAGAGATGAATGCAAGCCCCCAAATCAAATGCAGATCATTGGTAGAATATTCTTTCTTTTGGCTTTCTACATGTTGGGATTTCTTTTTCTTAATTTGATCTGAAATTCTATAAAACACTTTTAAGACTTACTTTAATATCAAAATCACATATCCATATACCTATTTGTCTGCTTCATTTGCTTATTAAATTTTTTTTAAAAAAGGTAGGGTCTCTCTGTATATTCCTGGCTGTCCTGGAGCCTGCTGTAATAGGCCAGGCTCGCCTTGAACTCCTGCCTCTACCTTTAGTATTAGGATTAAAGCATGTGCTACTGCACTGGTCACGTCACTTAAAACTTAAATTCATGTTTTATTAAACAAAGACTCCAAAAAAAGTATTTATCATGTCTATTATGTATAACAATCATGAACACTTTTAACAAAAATTTATTGATCTATGAATATCTCTATATGGTTAATGTAGACGTCAAAACAATCTTCAACATTTTTAATGTTTCTAGTTATCAGCATCCACAACACTTGAAAACCTAGCATAGCCTATGGTAACAGTCACTGTACCTGCTGCAATGTGAACAGTTCACTGTAGCTCTTCAGGATGGAAAAGGCACTCCATTCCTGCCTCTCCAGGAAGGAGAGAGCACACCATTCCTGCCTCTCCAGGAAGGAGAGAGCACACCATTCCTGTCTCTCCAGGATGGAGAGAACACACCATTCCTGCCTCTCCAGGAAGGAGAGAGCACACCATTCCTGTCTCTCCAGGAAGGAGAGAACACACCATTCCTGCTTTTGCAGGATGGAGAGAGCACACCATTCCTGTCTCTCCAGGAAGGAGAGAGCACACCATTCCTGTCTCTCCAGGATGGAGAGAACATACTATTCCTGCTTTTCCAGGATGGAGAGAGCACACCATTCCTGTCTCTCCAGGATGGAGAGAACACACCATTCCTGTCTCACCAGGATGGAGAGAACACACCATTCCTGTCTCTCCAGGATGGAGAGAGCACACTTTTCCTGCCTCTCCAGGAAGGAAAGAACACGCCATTCCTGTCTCTCCAGGATGGAGAGAACACACCATTCCTGCCTCTCCAGGAAGGAAAGAACACGCCATTCCTGTCTCTCCAGGATGGAGAGAGCACACCATTCCTGTCTCTCCAGGATGGAGAGAACATACTATTCCTGCTTTTGCAGGATGGAGAGAGCACACCATTCCTGTCTCTCCAGGATGGAGAGAACACACCATTCCTGTTTCTCCAGGATGGAGAGAACACACCATCTCTGTCTCTCCAGGAAGGAGAGAGCACACCATTCCTGTCTCTCCAGGATGGAGAGAGCACACCATTCCTGTCTCTCCAGGATGGAGAGAGCACACCATTCCTGTTTCTCCAGGATGGAGAGAGCACACCATTCCTGTCTCTCCAGGATGGAGAGAGCACACCATTCCTGCTTTTGCAGGATGGAGAGAACACACCATTCCTGCTTTTGCAGGATGGAGAGAGCACACCATTCCTGTCTCTCCAGGATGGAGAGAACACACCATTCCTGTCTCTCCAGGATGGAGAGAACACACCATCTCTGTCTCTCCAGGAAGGAGAGAGCACACCATTCCTGTCTCTCCAGGATGGAGAGAGCACACTTTTCCTGCCTCTCCAGGATGGAGAGAGCACACTTTTCCTGCCTCTCCAGGAAGGAAAGAACACGCCATTCCTGTCTCTCCAGGAAGGAGAGAGCACACCATTCCTGCTTTTGCAGGATGGAGAGAGCACACCATTCCTGTCTCTCCAGGATGGAGAGAACACACCATTCCTGCTTCTCCTCCTTAAGATTTTACGTTTCAGAAACATAGTTTCTTGCCACTTAGTGTTCTTTGTCATGTTTTCGCTTTGTGGACCTGAATTCATTTTCACGTACGTCAGGGTTAGTGTTTAAATCAGAATGCCTTAACAACAGAAGGAAGCATTATAATATGTGTTTTCCCTCCTACCACCTGAGAATGTAATGGGTGTATGCATAGTAATTATATCTTTGTAAAAGTCAGGTCATTTTTACTTACTAGGATTCCTTTACTTAATCAAAACATTTATATGCATAGGAGGTTGTTGATTTTAGACAAGTTTAGATCATTAAAGACAAGTTTAGATCATTAAAATGAATTGTGTGCCTGTGGAAACTTTGGATTTTCTTTGGACATCATTAAGATGTCTTAGCCCAGAACATAACTTTTTTAAATGTTTTTTTTAAAATTATCCATGCAATGTTCTGCTGGAATATATGCCTGCACGCTATAAGAGGGCATTAGATCTCATTATGATAGCTGTGAGCCACCATGTGGTTCCTGGGAATTGAACTCAGGACCTCTGGAAGAGAAGCCAATCCTCTTAACCTCTGAGCCATCTCTCTAGTACCCCAGAATATAATTTTAATGTTATGCAAGTTTTGCTGACAGTAATGTGCTCTGGGTATCCACCAACCTGGTAAATTTGCTTATTCCGTTCATACTATATTTTGTTACAGATTGGACTGATGAAGGAGTATCTGGATATCTAGGTCCTCATTTTACTTTCAGGCTATATATTCTGTTCCTATAGTTATCCTTCGACCAATAATCAATGTCATGTCTTCATCATCTTCAAGGCCCCTGTGAACCATCTCACTATGTACTCCTTCTGTCTTAAGTTCTCCAATTACAGGGACTTTAACCCCTGACAAGAATGGGTTAAGGGCAGAACCAGAGGTTTCAGTCCATCCTTAGCTCATGCCATTGATCTTAGATCTAAGGGAGTAAGATATATCACTGTGGAAAGACTTCATCTCTAGAATAAATGGTCTTTTTCTTTGGAACAACAAAAATCTGTATGTATTCAGCTAAGAGCGGGAGTTGGTTCTGTAGGAGGTAGTATCAATAAATTGAAAGAAGAGTTCAGTCTGTTGTTGAACTATTAGTTATAGTTACCATAAATGTGAGCCATAGTTATCAGAAACTGTGGAGAGCCTCACTTGGTATGTCACTTGTTACTGGGAAAATTGGGGTCCTCTCTCAGGATTCTTAGTTTTATAAAGACCTTATCAAGCTGTTCTCAAACGTGTAGCTTTTGTGATTAATAGAGCTGTGGTTTCAGAAGTGATATACCCTCTAATTATCAGCATTAGCCTAGTGGGAGGAAACTGAGTGTGCATTAGCAGATTACTAGAGACACTTCAGTTAGTGCTTTGCCCGAAGCACTGCTCTGAGCCTTTATTAAAGAGGAAGTGAGCTGCTCATACTTCTTCCTCTTGGGCTTTCTGCCCAGCACATCACTTTCCTAGGAAACTGCTTATTAGAGGATGCAGAGTGCGCTGCAGCTAGGAAAGGCTTTACAGACAGGTCACATGGGTCATGACATTGACACGGTAGTTTTCAAAGGTAATGGTTTTAGAAGTTTGCTTTTGTGTGACTCTGATAGTACTTTCTGTCTATACATTTAATTTTACATTAAACTATATTTTTCAGTTATTGAAGCAGTGGAAAATGTCTTGTGTCTATATTTGCTGTTAGTCACATATCTAACTTCATATGTGCTATTTATTAAGAAAGAATATCTTTTCTGGGGAAGCATTAGCTGTCTGTTCATTAATGTTTAATTTTTTTTTCTCCACAGTTCCATCCCCTAACCTGTATAGCCAGCTGAATGCTCTACAATTTACTGTAGATGAAAGAAGCATTCTGTGGCTAAACCAGTTCCTGCTAGATTTAAAGCAGAGTCTTAATCAGTTCATGACTGTGTACAAGTTGAATGACAATTCAAAATCTGATGAGCACGTTGATATTCGAGTTGATGGCTTAATGTTAAAGGTATTGTACACACAAGTGACTGCTAGAATACAGCTGTTTTATTCTGTGTGTGTGTGTGTGTGTATGTGTGTGTGTGTGTGTGTAAGAGGGAGAGAAAGAGACAGAGAGAGAGAGAGAGAGACAGACAGACAGACAGACAGACAGGATCTCACCATGCAGCTCACATAGATCAGTCCACCTGCCTTTGCCTCCCAAGTGCTGGGATTAAACGCATGTGCCAATACATCCAGCTGAGAGCAAAACCGTATTTATAGAAATAAAACTGATGGTGAATTCCAGGATATAATGCTGTGTTTAGATGTGAATAAATTAAATTATAATCTTAATTTTTATGTTGAAATTTAAGATTGAATTTTGATTTGCAGTTATAGAAAATGTAAGAGACTGCTTTTTCTTCATTTGTGTATTTATGATTTTAATTTTTCTCTAATTTCTATTCATTTGGAAATAAGCTCTAGCAGTAAAATGTAAATGTTTAGTGGGATGGCTCAGCAGGTAAAGGCTTGTATTACCTGAGTTCAATCTCCGGGTCCCACATTATGGGTGAAAAACTGACTCTGCTAGTTGTCCTCTGACTTCCACACACTCCCTATGACACTACATCAAAATAAACAAATACATAAATGGATAAATATTACAAAAAAGGTCTTTAAAAATCTTTAGTCCTTTCCCTCTTGCTACAGGGTTTATACATTTTTTTCTTCTCAAAAAGGTTAAATATACAACAAAGTTTTAAAATTGTATGAGTTGTATTTGTTCATATTATTCTATACTTCATATCCAAAGTTAACCAAAAAGTGGATTTTTACTATGGGTAACTGCTAATCTGAGCTGTGTATATTCTTTGGTTTTAAAGGGAAAAGATTAAAAGACAAAACAGTTTAGTAAATAGAGTAAGCCCTGGGCATAACTGAAAATTTACTGCAAGGTCTGTTGTTGATGGATTATGTAAGGTAACCTTTTTAAAGAAATTATACAAAGCTGGGTGGTGGTGGTGCATTCCTTTAATCCCAGCACTCAGGAGGCAGAGGCAGGTGGATCTCGGTGAGTTCAATATCAGCCTGGTATATGAAGCAAGTTCCAGGACAGCCAGAGCTATTACACTGGGAAACCCTGTCTCAAGAAACAAACAAACAAAATAAAACATTATACAAATAATACTCCACATTTCCTGGCATAAATAAAAATCTTCTCAATTTGGCATAAAGGGGCATATTCTATGACTGTTTGAGATAGGTATGAACAGTGCCTAGAAACTAAACTCCTTGCTATGAACACTCAAAGACTACATTCAGTTCACCCTTGAAAATTATTCCAGTAAAGTTTGACCCATCATCCTAGTTGTGTTTTCTTAACAGATCCCCTGCCAGTTTCTCTCGAGTGCTGGGATGACAGATGTGTGCTCTCGCATCCAGCCCAGACGACTGAGTATGATGACATCTGTCTGTCTAGACACTGTCATTTATCTCCTAAAACACTTGCATTTAAAAATCTTAACAAAATACCAGTATTGTTCTTCAGACTTACTTTTTTTTGTGAACTCATAAACACTTAAAGTTTTGAAAAATGCATCTATTTACTTATGTATTTATTCATTTATGTGCTGTAGTGCTAAGGCCTTGCAAATAATACCATGTGTTTTTACCAGTGAGCTACATCCATCGCACCTGTATTTTTCTGATTATTGCATTTAAAATACATAATCATGAGCATTGTTAATACATGTGATGTCTCACAAGACATGTATCCTCAGTGGTTAATTTGTTAACTGAATTTTTAGGAGACTCAACAGAGGGCGAAAAGGTGATTTATATCAGGAAAGGAAAGAAGTATTTTGAGGGAAAGTATCAATAAAACTAATTACAAGGCCTTGTATTTTATCCAGATTTGTAAATTGAACTAGATTGTTTTCTTTTCCAGTTTGTCATTCCTTCTGAAATGAAAGCAGGCTGCCATCAAGATCAGCCTCACACAGTATCTATCCAGAGTTCCGAAATGACCGCCACCAACACAAGGCACTGCCCAAACTGCCGGCACTCAGACCTGGAGGCTTTGTTTCAAGACTTCAAAGACTGTGATTTCTTTAGCAAAACTTATACTAGATTTCCCAAATCCTGTGACAGTTTTAATCTTCTCCATCCAATCTTCCAGAGACATGCTCATGAGCAAGACACCAAAATGCATGAAGTTTATAAAGGGAATATTATTCCCAAATTGAATAAAAACACTCTTAAGACGTCTGCTGCCAGCGATGTGTGGGCGGTGTACTTCTCCCAGTTTTGGATAGACTACGAAGGGATGAAAAGTGGAAAGGGACGGCCAATAAGCTTTGTAGACTCCTTCCCTCTGTCCATCTGGATTTGCCAACCAACGAGATATGCAGAGTTACAGAAAGAGCTCCAGACTTGTGGTCAAGTGTCTCTGAATACCTCCCAAAGTGAGTCCAGTGATCTGGCTGGCCGAATGAAGCGGAAGAAACTCTTGAAGGAGTATTATAGTACAGAGTCTGAGCCGTTGACAAATGGTGGTCAGAGACCTGCATCAGAAGCCTTCCTACGGTTTTCCTCTCCGTCTTCAGATGCGGATGTTCACGTCCTGGTCCGTGTTCATAAGCATGTCAGCATGCAGATCAATCACTACCAGTATCTGCTGCTGCTCTTCATACACGAGTCGCTCATGGTGCTTTCGGATTCCCTGCGGAAGGATGTGGAAGCTGTGACCGGCAATCCTGCTTCTCACACTTCCGTTTGCATTGGGGTTTTGCTTAGGAGTGCAGAGCTCGCCCTGCTGCTGCACCCTGTGGACCACGAGAGCACTTTGCGCTCTCCTGCTTCTGAAAGTGTGAGCCCGCTGCTTCCTGACTACCTACCCTCAGAAAATGGGGGCCTTTTGTCTTCAAAGAGAAAACAAGGTGGGAGTGGTATACATCGAATTAGAAATGCTGCTCTTAATCACATGTCAGACAACAGATCGATGAGTGTTGACCTTAGCCATGTCCCTTTGAAGGATCCTTTGCTTTTCAAGTCAGCCAGTGACACAAATCTGCAAAAAGGCAGTTCCTTTCTGGACTATTTATCAGATAAACATTTAGGGAAAATAAGTGAGGATGAAAGCAGTGGGCTTGTTTACAAGAGTGACTCAGGAGAGGTGATGGCAGAAGTAAGTCACAGAAAGGATGTGTCTTGCACAGACTCGGATAATGTCTTGAACTACAGAGATGACTCAAATAGGCTTTTACTGAATAACGGTGGTAATCAGAGTGCACCCTCAAATGCGCTAGCTGGTAAAGGAAGTGGAACTATAGAGTCTATCTTCAGAGCTGAAGATTTCTTTCCTGAAGGACCTTCAGTCCCTGAGAACCTGGAGGACAGCAAAGAAGAGGTCCCCACAGCCAGATCACTCAAATCCCAGCCATCCGTAAGGTAATGAATGGTGCTGTTGAGATGTGAATGGTTTTACTTTTGTTATTGTTGTTTCTTTGGCTTGTTTCTTTTGCTTGGGAGCAGAAAACCTCTAGTTGTGGCTTTGTTATGACTAAGAGTCTATTTTCTGAAGCTGAGGAGGCCGCTGAGCTCTTCCTACCTTTTGGTATACTTTTGGATGCTCTGTGATATGCTAGCTTTACTACAGTTGTTTTCCGTGATGGCCAGCATCTCTGCAGGGCAGGTTAGGAGTCCAGTACTCCTTTAGCCTTTGCTGGGATGACAGGGTGCACGCACTCTCCCCACAGCTATTGAGAGTATTTTAGGGTGAACTTCTTCCCTATACCTGCAGTAAGTTTCTATTAATTTTGTTTGCCAACAGTGTAAAACCTAAGGAACGTTGCCCACCCACCCCAGCTCCACTCTGTGTTTCTTACAAGAACATGAAAAGGAGCACCTCTCAGGTCTCCCTGGATACCATCTCACTGGACAGCATGGTGTTGGAAGAGCCGTTGGAGAGCGATGGAAGTGATAGCCATGTGTTGTTGGGAAAAGGTAAAGCATTGTGGTGTGAGAGTCCTCACTAGAGATGAGTACTCTTACAAGGAGTGCTGCTTGAGTCCTTACGGTTCTGTGTTCCCATTGTGTCAGGCAGAATGACTTCATTTCTCTATGTCCAGCCCTGTATTCCTAGAGTAGAGCTTCCTAGTGGCTGTTCTAATGAATCTCCTCTCTTCTGCCTTTGTTCATTTGCAGGTTGGTTGGTTTTTTGTTTTTATTTATTTTTTCACTCTATAAACAGATTATTCCCCCAAATATAAATCTGATCATGTTATTTTCCAGTTTGATCTTAGAAATGTCTCATGCTTTAAGACTGTGAATTTAGAATCCTTAATCCTTTTTGAAATTTGTCTATCTATTGGAGTGTGTTGGACAGGGTAACACGTATGCTTCATGGCATGATTGTAGAGACAGAGGACAACTTGCAGGAGTTGTTCACTCTTCCACCATGTGGATTCTAGGGATGAAACACATGTTTTCAGGCTTGGTGGCAAGCATCTTTACCCACTGATCCATCTTGCAGGTCCCACGTCTCATTTTCTTTACTGTGACAAATATTTTTCCACCTCAGATTCTCATAGCTGTGCCTGGAAAGCTGTTTTACTTTTTGTACAGTTTAGCAAACATTTTCATCATAGAATCCTTAATCCCTGGACTGTGAGGAAGACTCTAAAATGCTCTGTTAACTTCATATGCCACAGTTACAGTCACAAACACCTCTGGTGCCACCTCTGGTGCACAAGTTACTGAGCATTCCACATTGACCAGCATCAAGGTAGAAACCAAATAGTTACATAGGAGTTAACAGTGCTGAGTTGGGGCTGATGTTTTTTTTTGTCTTTGATTTGTGTCATCACATTTTTGTAATGGTTCTTTTTTTGTTTTGGTTTAGGTTTTTTTGTTGTTTTGTTTTTCAAGATAGGGTTTCTCTATGTAACAACCTTGGCTGTCCTGGAACTTGCTCTGTAGACCAGGCTGGCCTCGAATTCACAGAGATTCACCTACCTCTGTCTCCCAAGTGCTGGGATTAAAAGCGTGTGCCACCACGACCTGGTTTGTAATAGTTCTTTTATAGTATATTACAGTATTAGTCTGTGGTAGATACAAAAATTGTCTTTTTTTACTATGGATAGCTTGAGGTGTATTGAAGCACAACACGCTGAAATGTCTAGGCAGCTAGACTGTAATGGAGAACAGTCATGTGGTATTCAGTTCATGTGAGAGGTGATTTGAGAGTTGCTGTCTTGACGGAGAGAAGAGAGTCTAGTATTTAGACTGAAGCGATGCAGTGTGGGTAGATGGGAGACGTGAGGCTGACAGGACTTCCCATTGCAGCAGTAGGAAGTGTATTTGTTTATCTGATGCTTATCATCATTGTCATTGCTATTTTACCAGACTTTAGCACCTTGTCTTAGGGTTTCCGTGTCTGCAATGAAACACCATGACTACAAAACAAGTTGAGGAGGAAAGGGTTTACTTAGCATATACTTCCGTGTTGTAGTTCATCACTGAAGGAAGCCAGGACAGGAACTCAAACAGGGCAGGAATCTGGAGGCAGGAGCTGATGCAGAAATTTTAGTGGGGCACTGCTTACTGGTTTGCTCCTCATGACTTGGTCAGCCTGCTTTCTTACCGAAACCAGGACCATCAGTCCTGGAGTGGCACCATCCACAATGGGTTAGACTCCCCAATAAATCACTAATTAAGAAAATGCTCTACAGACTAGAACACAGTCTTATATGGAGGCATTTTCTCAATCGAGGTTTCTTTCTCTCAGATGGCTGTAGTTGTATCAAATTGACATAAATCTAGCCAGCACAGTATCTCTGACATTTTATTGTTGTGCTAACAGACCATAATTTGTCTGTATTTTCTTACTACTAATTGAATAAGGCTTTGCTTGAAAGAGTTAAAGGGAATAGTCCTTTTTTGATAAATATAAACATTGCTGGAACATATATCAACAGATTTTAATTTATTAATTTACTTTTATATTATTTCAGCAATTAAAAGGAACTCAAGTACAAATTGCCAGAGTCCTGCAGAGAGTGTGAACACTAATGCAAATATGCAGAATTGTGGGGAAGCCTCTCCCGATGCCATCAGTACTAACTCAGAGGGCGCTCTGGAGAGCCGTGATGACCTGGTAAGCATCTCAGGGTTCCGTGGGAAGAAATACCAACTGTGCTTCATGCTTGATGCATGCACATCTTAAGACCTTCATTTATAAGATGATAGCTTGAATGCTGGATAATTTACTTCGCTGCTTCTACTCTTGAAAATTCTTTTTGCTAATCAACTGGCTGTTCCTGAGCTTTACTGTTTTGTTTGTTTGTTTTTTGTTTTCTGAAGAAGGGAAGGGAATAGGTCTGTTCTTCATTTTTTCCATCTTCTGTCCCATTTATATTTTGACCAATATCTTAGTTCCCTTTGAGTATACTTTTTACAAGTGCGATGGCATAGATAGTAGCCAGTCCTTACAATGAATGCCCTTCTACAAATAGGAAATAGGTTGTTAGTTTCTTTTAACCCTCGTTTGACACAGTGAAGGAGTTTAGACATGCACTAGCTTTATTGAACACCCATTCATATGTGGTTATGTCATATTATTAGTCTTTTTTTTGGTTTTACGAGACAGGGTTTCTCTGTATTGTTTTGGAGGCTATCGGTCCAGCCTGGCCTCGAACTCACATAGATCCGCCTGTCTCTGCCTCCTGAGTGCTGGGATTAAAGGCGTGCGCCACCACCGCCCGGCATCATATTATTAGTCTTTGTAACCAAAGATTGAATATCCTTTGTCCAAAATTCTTGGGCACAGAGGTACTTAAATACAGAAGTACTCGAGAAATTTTGGAATTTTGACATATAAGTATGAGATATCTTGTGTATCGAACCCAATTCTAAACCCAAAATTGGTTATTTTTCACGGATTCCTTATATACATAACCTGTAGATAATTTTGTACAGTTTTTCGGTAGTCTTGGGAAGCAGCTCAATGGTATGGAATTTTTCACTCATGGCATTGCATTGTTACTTGAAAAGTAGTCGATTTCTGATTTAGAACTAGAGATGCTTAAGCTATAAAATACAATGGCTAGGCTGTGTGGGCCATGAGGGCAGCTTGAGTGACAAGTCAGAATGGTATTTGTAGAGGTTAAGATTTATTTCTTTTATTATTTGTTTAATTTTGTTTAGAATTACATGGTGTACTAACAATGCTTATACAATCATTGATAGATGTCAGTCGTGGTGTTTAAAATCACTGGCATTAATGGGGAAATTGACATCCGGGGAGAAGACACAGAAATCTGTCTTCAGGTGAACCAGGTGACACCGAGTCAGTTAGGCAACATTAGTCTTCGGAACTACCTTGGAAACCGTCCAATCGGTAAGGGTTTTCATTAAACCACTTTTCACACAAAGTACTTAAATATGTTTTAAATTTTTGGTGTTCTATTCATGACTCACTAATAGTCCTGCTTTATAATGACTCAGCTCAAGGAGGACCATATTCAATACAATACCAGAGTGAGATTTTCCTTTGCTATGTGTATGGAATTCTATATGATACAAAATGTATAGGAATAAATACAATCTTGCATAATATCAGAAAGTATGCTGTCATTTCCTATTCTGGGAGGTGGAGGTAAATTTACCATTTCTTAGGGAAAAAAAGGCTCCTGGCCTTTTGTAATCTTTGACTGATTAGAACTGACAACAGCTGGGGTTTGTCTCCAGCTTTTCTCTTCTTCTCATCCTGTCCTTGTGTGCCGTGTAGGTGTTACTATTCTGACATTAGTTGTCATAAAATAAACAAAATATCCCACTTTTTCTGTTCACAGCTAATTGACCTCAATCTTTCCATTACTAGTAGCCTTTTTTTTTATTTTTGATTTTTTGAGACAAGGTTTCTCTTTATTGTTTTGGAAACTGTCCTGGCACTCGTTCTGTAGACCAGGCTGCCCTCGAGCTCACAGAGATCCGCCTGCCTCTGCCTCCCGAGTGCTGGGATTAAAGGCGTGCGCCACCAACGCCCGGCTACTAGTAGCCCTTTAAACTGTATGTTATATAGAGCTTCTATTGAAGTTTTAAAATTTGTTTCTAAACATTGGTGTTTATCTTGGTAAACCAACTCAAATTCTTTCTTGAAACAATGTCAATCCATAAAATCCATAAATAAATGTAGTTACACATGGATTACATATATTCTATACTTTCAATCTCAAGTGTTTTTCAGGACTGTTTCAACAACATCTTGTATACTTTTACATTGTTTGAGGCTCTGATTTAATGAGGAAGGTGCAAAGTCTAAGAGTCATTTTAAGTGCTGTGGCTGCTGGGTTGAAACTGGAGAGCGTAGCTTTTCAGAGTTTATCATGAAGTTTGCTATTAAAAAGTAGGAAATGTAGAAATGCTAGTATAGTATTTGAAAATTACCCAGAAAAAGTGAAATTATGGTGCTTATCTTAGTTACACTATAGATCCCTTTAAACTAGTCAATGTTACAGTTGTTTCATGTATTCCTTTAATATGCAGTTTCTTTGTTATTTTTACTATAATCTTAATGGTATATAACGTTCTTTTTTAGTTGTGTTACAAATTTACCGTTTTTATGTTTGTTTCTTAGGTTCTGACCAGAAAGCTGTAATTCATCCCAAATCCTCTCCTGAGATTTCTCTGAGGTTTGAAAGTGGGCCTGGTGCTGTAATACACTCTTTGCTTGCAGAAAAAAATGGATTTCTCCAATGCCACATAGAGAACTTTAGTACCGAGTTTCTAACATCTTCTCTTTTGAATATTCAACATTTTTTGGAAGATGAAACTGTTGCAACTGTAATGCCAATGAAGATACAAGTTTCCAATACAAAGATAAATTTAAAAGTATGTTAAGAACTGTTTTTTTTAATTAATTTTTATTTAAATTGAAACAATCTTATTTTACATACCAGTCCCACTTCCCTCTCCCTCCAATCCTCCCATACCCCCCACCAACCCCTCCATCCCACCCCCTATTCACTCCCCAAGGAGAGTGAGGCCTCCAATGGGGGACCGTCAAAGTGTGTCACGTCATTTGGTGCAGAACCTAGGCCCTCCCCCATGTATTGAAACTGAGAGAGTAACCCTCCATAGGGAATGGATTCCCAAAGCCATTCTTACACTAGGGATAAATACTGGCTCCAGTCCCAGAGGCCCCATAGACTTCTCAGGCCTCCTCTCAGACCTCCTTACTGACACTCATGTTCAGGGAGCCTGGTTCAGTCCAATGCTGGTTTCCCAGCCATCAGTCTGGGGTCCGTGAGCTCCCACTTGCTCAGGTCAGCTGTTTGGGTTTCTCCAGCATGGTCTTGACCCCTTTGCTCATCATTCCTCCTCTCTGCAACTGGATTCTAGGAGTTTGACTCAGTGCTTAGCTGTAAATCTCTGAAGAACTAAATTTTGATTTTCATAAATGTTTACATTACCTTTTCTGGACTTCGTTTCATGTCTAAAATCATGCCTTCTCTAAATTATGTCCTCTGCTAGAATTTATGAAAGTGAAGGAGTAATCTTTACAGTGAATGTTAGAGATCTTTTTTAGAAGGGGAAAAATTGTGCAGGCAATGTTGTGACATACTAAAATTATATAGATAAATTTATATATAACTCACTAAAAGTAGAATTAACTAAAGTCATGTTTTATTCCAGTCGACTATTTTAATTTTTTTCTCTTTGAGACAGGGTTTTACTGTGTAGCCCTGGCTGTCCTGGAATTCTTTCTATAGACCAGGCTGGCCTCAAACTCAGAGACATTGGCCTGCCTTTGCCTCCTGAGTGCTGAGGTTAAAGGCGTGTGCCAACCATTTGAATACTTTAATAAGAACATGCCAATATTCCATCCCTTCCCTCCAGGATGACAGTCCCCGGAGTAGCACAGTGTCCCTGCAGCCAAGTCCTGTGACTGTCCATATTGATCATCTTGTGGTGGAGAGGAATGATGATGGCTCTTTCCACATCAGAGGTACACTACAGTGACGCCAGGAGCACCTGACACACTGACACTGAATCATCTATCTGCGTGCTGATTGTTTTGTCACCCACTGTTGGCTTTGCACAGATTGGCAGGAGTCACATTAGTCTACAATATCGATGTATAAACCCTGGAAATAACTCATCAGTAGTTAGCTTGATACCTGTTCTGCAGATGAGTCTTGAATGAAAACAAGAAAGGCTTTGTAGTTTTGTGTGACCCCACCCCGTGTCTGTGTGTCTGTGTTTCTGTGTGTCTGTGTGTCTGTGTGCCTGTGTGCCTCTGTGTCTGTGTGCCTGTGTGTCTGGGTGCCTGTGTGTCTGTGTGTCTGTGTGTCTGGGTGTCTGTGTGTCTTTGTGTCTGTGTGCCTGTGTGTCTGTGTGCCTGTGTGTCTGTGTGCCTGTGTGTCTGGGTGCCTGTGTGTCTGTGTGTCTGTGTGTCTCTGTGTCTGTGTGTCTGGGTGCCTGTGTGCCTGTGTGCCTGTGTGCCTGGGTGCCTGTGTGTCTGGGTGTCTGTGTGCCTGTGTGTCTGGGTGCCTGTGTGTCTGGGTGTCTGGGTGTCTGGGTGTCTGGGTGCCTGTGTGCCTTGTGTGCCTGTGTGTCTGGGTGTCTGGGTGCCTGTGTGCCTTGTGTGCCTGTGTGCCTGTGTGTCTGTGTGCCAGTGTGTCTGTGTGTCTGGGTGTCTGGGTGCCTGTGTGCCTGTGTGCCTGTGTGCCTGTGTGTCTGTGTGCCAGTGTGTCTGTGTGTCTGTGTGCCTGTGTGTCTGGATGTCTGGGTGTCTGTGTGTCTGTGTGCCTGTGTGCACATTGATGCCACAGTCAGCATGTGAAAGTCTGAGGGCAGCCTCGGGCATTGGTTCACCCTCACCTTCCATCTTGTCTGAGATAGTTTCTTTGTCCCTTACCACTCTTTACTCCTGGCTAGCTGCCTGCAAGCGAGGAACTTCTTTCTCTGCCTCCTACTTCCGCATAGGAACACTTGGATTATGCTGTTGTTTGTTAAGAAAAATGAAATATGCAGGTAAATAAATGGAGCTAGAAACATACATCCTGTGTGAGGTAATCAGGACCCAGGCAGACAAGCATTGCATATTTTGTTATATATGGATGCTAGCTTTGTGCTTTAGATACAGTGTTTCATGTAGAATACCCACAAAAGGTACATAGCTAGTAAGGGATCAGAGGAAGGAGTTCTTCAAGGATATAAAGGGATAAAAGGAAAGCTGGAATGGGAGGATTAGTAGGATGGGAGGACAGGATAGAGGAGGGAATATGGGGTAGTGATAACTGAGACTACAGGTCTTTTGAAAGCCATATGACCTACTGTAGAAGCTTTCTAAAATATGTGCATATATAAAAAGAATTTAAATATAGTCACCATATAATATGGAAGACAATACCCCAACTAGACATAATGTGCTGTGAAATAAAACCCTAAGAATGGAGTCCCACAATCCCCTAAACATTATAGCATATTGCCAATATAGTGTGACCAATTTGGTTACTCTCCACATTTTGAAGGATAGATCCTGTTGCTAAAGACACTGCATTTTGGTGGCATAGAATATGGAGAATTGGAACTGGCTCTCAACTGGAAGCTTCACCTCTACTAGCTAGCATCCATAGTGCTGGACAGTGCTGGACACACTACCAGAGGAGAAAAGTAGCCATCCATACCACCCAGCTCCAAACCCTGTGAGCTACAATAATGACTTTCTTGTGATATATGCCTGTTGTTGCAGTGGTTGCATGAATATTATGGCAGTAACCAACCAATTTTTCACTGATTTAATGCCAGGTCCATGAGGTAGAGCCAATACCTGGTGTTGTTAATGAGGCCAAGAACCTGAGATGAGACAGCATGGACCCTAGGGGAAAACCTACTCCAGTTCTTCCACAGGCACTTCACACACATGCACAGATGCTCTCAAATATATAAAATCAAAATAAAACAAATCTTGAAAATTTACATGGATTTGGAACATAGCCACATTTAATTTAAATGCCTGTTTTCTTTTGTTACTGTTTTGCGTTGGATTGATTTCCTTGGAGTCTATCACCAAGCCTGAAGACATATGCTTATGCCTTCCTTTAAGAGTTTTATGAACTTAGTTCTTAAATATATCTCTTAACTCAACATGATAAGGTAGAGTTGGTGGTTTCTGGTGTGTTAGGGATCACAGACATGATTTATTTCTCAGCCATATTCAATTCTCATGTATATGTAGGGAGGCTTTACTGTGTCTTGGTTGCTAGGTGGTCTTAGAGTAAATGTAAATGTTGACATTGGGAAATGGAAGTCATTCATTATTGTTGTATTTTTTCTTTTTCTTTTTTCTTTTCTTTCTTTTTTTTTTTTTTTTTTTTTTTTTTTCTGAGACAGGGTTTCTCTGTGGCTTTGGAGGCTGTCCTGGACCTCACTCGTGTAGACTAGGCTGGTCTCGAACTCACAGAGATCTGCATGCCTCTGCCTCCCGAGTGCTGGGATTAAAGGCATGCGCCACTACCACCCAGCTTATTGTTGTATTTTTTCAATATCCTTTGACTATTTGAATTCCTTGCAGTTCCATATGAATTTTAGAAATGTGATAATTTCTACACAGATACTAGCTCAGATTCTCATAGACTGTTGGGCAATATTGCCATATATCCTAACAATATTAAGTTTTCTAGTAAGTGGATCTGGGAATGTTTGGTCATCTGTTTTGGTCATCTTTAATTTTTTGCAATGATGATCTTAATTTCCAGAGTATAGGGGGTTTTGTGTTGAGAGAGGATCTTCCTTTGTAGCCCAAGTTAGTCTGGAGCTTGGAGTCTCCCATCTGGCCATCTGGAGTTGGGTTACAGACATGCACAGCTGCACCTGGCTCAGAGGATATGTTACATTGTTTTCTGAATTTACGTGTCTTTTCTCTAAAAATATGTTTTTGGATGGTTCTGGGGGTTGAACACAGGGCTCATGCCACTTTGGAAGACATTTTAAATGGAATTATGTTTTCCTTTTTTGAGACAGGGTTTCTCTGTGTAATAATAGCCCTGGTTGTCCTGGAACTCAGTTTGTAGACCAGACTGGCCTGGAGCTCACAGAGATATGTTTGCCTCTGCCTCCCAGTGCTGGGGTTAAAGGCGTGTGCCATCATGCCCAGTTTGGAATTATTTTCTTAATTTCATTTTAATATTATTCTATATAGCAGTACATATAGTTCATTTTTGTGCTGCTGATTAAAAAAAATCCTACAGCCTTGCTGAACAGAATTATTAGTTTCAATTGTTAGCTATTTATTTAGACTTATTTATTTTATGTATAGCAATGTTTTCTTTGTATGAACATCTGCACACCAGAAAAGAACATCAGGCCCAAAGAAGACAGTTGTGAGCCTCCATGTAGATGCTGGGAATTGAACTCAGGACCCCTGGAAGAACAGCCAGTGCTCTTAACCACTGAGCCATCTCTCTAGCCCTCCATTTTTTTTTGTAGTCAATTGCTTAATTTTGTGTGTATATGTACAAGATCATATCACCTATAAGTGTCTTGCTCCTCTCTTTAAGTCTGGATGTCTCAATTTCCTTCCCTGCCAATTGCAATGGCTAAGAACCTCCTGGGTAGTATTGAGGTTGTAAGAACACACATTCTTGTTCTGTTCCTAATTTGGACAAAGAGGAAAAGTACCACTGAGTATACAGCTGTGGGGTGCCTATCAATACTCTTCAATCACAATGAGAATACAGCTGTGGGGTGCCTCTCAATACCCTTCAATCACAATGAGAATACAGCTGTGGGGTGCCTCTCAATACCCTTCAATCACAATGAGAATACAGCTGTGGGGTGCCTATCAATAACCATCATATTGAGAATACAGATGTGAGGTGCCTCTCAATACCCTCCATCACATTGAGTAAGTTACCTATACTTTTATTGTGGTAAGGTGTAGGATTTTTTTTACCGAGTTTTTTTTTAAATAGAGTTTTTTTTTTTTTTTTAAGGTGTGGGATTTTTATAAGTGCCATTTTCCTGTTTTGGTTTTCTTCTCTACATAGCCCTGGCTATCCTTGAACTCACATCTGGAGCAGGCTTCCCTAGAATTTACAAACATCTGCTTGCTTTTGCCTCCAAGTGCAGGATTCAGGACATGTGCCACCATGCCAACCCTCAGGAGCCTTTTCTATAGGCTCTGAAGTAGTCGCATAGCTCTATCACTCTGGACATATATAGAATGATTTGAAATTTAAAAAAACTGTAAGGCAGTTTTGCATTCCTTACTACATGCCCAGTGTCTACTCATGTTTTATATGTGGTGTAGTCACTTTACTAATGTTTTTAAAGGTTGTTTATGTTTCTATCACAAGCATCTTGATCACATTTTTTAGGTTCTTGGCATGTTGTTATTGTTTTGTGATCTTTTGAAAGAGTGAGATTTTTATTTTGCTGTGTTTTTTCTTTCCCTATTTTTCTATCACATATTATTGTCCTCATACTAACAGATATATTCTCATTTTAAAATTAGTTTTTCATAATAAAACTTAATGATTTGTCAAATGACTTGAATTGTTATCTAAGCTTTTGTTTGTTTGGTCAGATTCTCACATGTTTAACAATGGAACTGATTTCCAAGGCGACGCCGATGCCAACCGTGACTCAGTGGTGCTGAGCAGCGGGAAGTGTGATGTAAGGAAACAACACAGTGTCACCCAGGCCACTCAGACAAGCCCAGAGGTCCCTTGGCCTTCTCAGTCCATCAGCTGTCCTGAACGCTCCTTTGATTTTACAAGGGAACAGGTAATAGGAAATTCTAGCACTTGGTAATTACTAAAATACTAGCAGTAAAACCCCTTTGAAGTATTTACATAACGCATATTGATGACCTGCTATACGTAAGCCTGAGATGTTGAGCAAGGTAAGAAACATCCGAATTCCTTCTACCTTCTTGAAGTACTGTCAATATTTTTGTCCTTTCAGAATCTCACTCATTCTTAAAAAATTAGTTTTCAAGTGTGAATACTGTATTTCACTTAGCATTGCAGAACATGTTTCTCATGTTATTACATTTGCTTCCAGCCTATTTCAGTGTCTGGATGTAGATATATTATCACTTCTGAACCTTCTGGTTGACATTTCTTAATATGCAAGTTGCTTCTGATTGTTTGCAAATATAAATAAACAAAATGTTCTACAGAGTCCAAGGACTCACTGGATGACAACTCTGACCGCGTAGACACTGAACACTGTAATTGATGTGGGTACATACAAACCGCCCTTAGTTTTTATTGTATCTTCATATGTTGTTCTCTGAGAGGGCAAAATCTTGAATAAGTCTTAGAAAGTTCTGATCCCTGGAAGAAAATGCCTATTGGAATACTGAGCATGTAAATCTGGAGATGAGGAGAGAGTTGCTCTGGGCCCGGCTAGCTCTTTTCTATGATCCAGTCGAATCATGTAGATAGAAAAGGCCATCTAAAAGTGACTTACATAAAAGTGAAAGTGACCAGCTGTGCAGTCTAAGGCACTGTGAAAACTCGGGATTCCTGTAAGAGATGAAAGAGGAACACGGTGGAAGCTGTAAGGTTGAGGGGACTGACGTAAAAGCCAGAGGACAGAGGCTCATAGAGGAGGAAGGAGGTCAGCTGTGACTGAAGACACAGCGGCCCAAGGATATTACAGCGAAACAGTGTCACTGTTACATTTGGAACTGAAAAGGTAATTCATATTTGAATTACTGGGTCAAAATTTAGGAACACTTTTAATTGCATAGTAAGTGCTTTCAAACAGCACCTGCAAACAATTTCAGCACAAGGGGACCGTCACCAGCACTTGGTGTTTTACTGTCCCAAGTGACACACATGAATTAGTTGTATTTTCTGGAAGTGATTACAGTCTCTCGTTTTCCAAATGTGTTTCAGCTCATGGAGGAAAACGAGTCTCTTAAGCGGGAGCTGGCTCAAGCTAAAATGGCTCTCGCGGAGGCTCACTTGGCCAGAGATGCTCTTCTCCATCAAATGAAGAGGATGGCCCCTCAGTAGCTGGAGTGGCCGCAAGAACCGGACTGCAGCTCTGGAGGAGGAAGGTGGTGTCACAAACATGGCTGTAACCAGTTAGTGGGAGAGTTTCCTTTACATGAAAATAAAACAAAACGGAGTGTGGTGAAGTGATGACTATTCCAGACTCAGTTTAGAAAACGTTGGGTGCGAGCGGTGCAGTCTGCTGGTGTGGTCCAGAGAAGGACGCACACACTGTAAAACAGTGGAAACTGTTGGTTCCTAATTTCAGTGTCTCATTATAAACATGTCAAAAAAAATGAAGACCTGTTGTGCTCATGCAGATTGCTGAATTTATTTCTTTTTGTTAATAATTTACTATTATTTACAAAAGAAAATCAGATGCTTTTAGGGCTAATGTAAAAGAAGGCTTACATTTTAAATGCTTTAAAATTATGTACTTAAATCTATAATTATTTAATTGCTGTAAAAAGTCCAATCAGATTAATAAATTATATAATTACTGAGTTTACAAACTGAAAACTCTTGACCCTGCTGAGCTTATAAAGTAACTTGAAAATGTGAAAAGAAGGGCACCTTAAATGATGGATAACGTTTCAATAAGGTACAAATGTAAAATAAAAAGCACAACTCTTAGAGTATGTGGGCGATTGACTTAAAAGCATTACTTGTACATTCCATTAAATGTTCAGTAGAAGTAAAAAAAAACAATTTATCTTGCTATATTTGGCAGTATTTGTAACTATTAAATTTTAATCAAAACTATTTTAATATTTCTTTATCTTTCTTCTTTAAGGAGAATGTTTTCACATAATTTGTTTTTCACTCACATAAAACAATTTCATACCATTCCTGTAGTATCATATTACACATGTTTTCTCGTATAAAAATATAAAGCTAGTTTTGATTAAATTTCTGTGATGTGTGTCTATGTGTGTTTACATGTGTGCACACACATACACACAATCTTCTATAAGAGTGATTGGTAAATTTTGAATTCTATTTTCTAGGGGTTAAGGTTGAAAACAACATGAGAGAATCTTAATTATGCATTATGAAATAAAAGTACATGAGTATTTTAAGAAACAGGTTTTTGAAGACAATATATTTCTGATAGAATTAAAGTTAAGTGGTGTCTATTTTAAACCTCACATTCCTAAATATAAATATATCTAAGATAAGCCACGAGACAGCTGGACTGTTCTTTCTTAAAGGTACTTGGGAACCCTGGCCCTCGCTGTGACATTTATGGTGCTTTGTTGTTGGCAGGACTTATAGCCATCCCTGTACCTGAGAACTAGACAGAAACTACATACTTTATTACATTGTGTGTTGGACTGATACAAATTTTATTGTGAACAGTATTTACCCTCCCTTTCCCCATATCTTCCCTTTCAGTTGGCATCATTTAAAAGTATGGACACTGTTTGACAGCCAACATACAGCCAAGAACAAATAAAATTGTCACTATCTTACCTCAGAGTATTCACACCATCACGCTATACTCTGTTACTCTAACCTGTATGTAGCCTTAGAGTAAGTGCAAAGGTCTACTTAGAGCTTTAGAATATAGAGCCTGCTAACTTTTGATGTCTAGGCATGTACTCAGCACAAGCAGATCATACAGGAGATGGATGGGACATGAACTGAGCTGACACTGTTTCTCAGGATTGACCTATTCTGCATAAATATAAAACTTTTCTATGGTATAATGTTATATTGCTTAATGTTACTAGACACTGAATGTTTCCTTATTCCCTTAAAATGTATTTGGCTTTCCCAAGAAATCATATAAACAACAGAGGTGATAATATTCTGGAGCATTCCAAATGCTTTGTCTGATTTTTGTTCTTTTAATTTATAAAAAGTACTGTTTTCATAGTGGGTTAAGATTCAGGAAAGTCTCCACAATGATTCTCGTAGTTTCTACTGCAGATGTGGAGGGTTGGTGGGACTGAGTTGTTGGAAATGTGAAAGAATAAGTTGACTAAAGTGATGCTTAAGAATAAGTTGACTAAAGCATAATTGATACTGTGGTTCTGATTTAAGCGAGCTATTATGTATTTTTATTTTACATAGTCTTTCATTTGCAGACTTTGCCAAGCAGGGATGAAGGGATGAATCACTGTTTTTCTTCACTATGCAGAGTTTCTTTGTGTAGCCCTGGCTCTCCTGGAACTTGATCTGTAGACCAGGCTGGCCTCAGACTTAAAGATCTGCCAGCCTCTGCCTCCTGAGTGCTGGAATCAAAGGTGTGTGCTACCACCCCTGGCTCAGGGATTTTATTTTTTAAACTTTTCTTTTTTTGGTGGGCTAATGTTATAGAGCTTTTTCTCTGCATTTTTTTCAAGTACTTTTAATAGCTTTTGATTTTTTGTTTTAAGTGTTATATCTACTTTGAGTTGATGTTTGAATCTAGTATAAGATGGTAGTCTGATTTCACTCCTCTACATCCACTTTCCCAGAATAATGTATTAAAGTGGCTGTCTTTTTCTATTGTATTCCTGGTATTTTGATCAAAGATTAGTTGGTTATAAATTCAGAGGCCTATTTCTGCTCTTCCCATGTGTTTCAGTCATATTTGAATTTGTGTCTTTTTTTTACCAGTACCTCACTATCTTTGTTTGTGTCTGTATGTGCACACATGCTTTGCTTTTTAATTTACTATGTCAAAAACATTTTGTCGTATATTATATTTATTCTTTTCTCATATCTTAGAAAGTCAAAATACCATCATTTGATATTAGTTATAGGAGAATAGTATTTTTAGCATGAAAGTTATACTTTGTCTAACAATACTCTGTTAACTTAGTCTATCTAATCAAGGTATTTGTTTCTTTTTTAACATAAAATTTTTATTCTTTGAGAATTTCATGAGTGCATACAATGGATTTTAATTATATTCACTCCCCACTCCGTTACTGAATTCCCCCACATCTACCCCTGTATTAGTTGCTTTTCTATTACATCTACCACGGGCAAAGCACCTTATAGAGAAAAGGCTTTATTTGGGCTCAGGGTTCCAGAAGGTTCAAACCTATGATGGCAGAGTAGAGGCAGCAGGCATGATGGCTGAAATGGTCTGAACTGTAAGACAGGGAGCTGAGAGAGCAAACTACAAACGGTGCTTGGCTCTGAAACTGCAAAGCTTGCCCCTAGTGACGTACTTCCTCCTGCAAGGCCACATTTTCAAAATCTAGCCAAACAGCACCACCAGCTGGAGACCAAATATCCAAACATGTGAACCAGTGGACATTGTCATTCAAACTGCCACAGCACCCAAGGGATGTGTTTCAGTGTATGCTCACCCTGGTCCTAGACATCATCACCCAGATCTTGAACCAAGACACCTTCCCACGTTTCATCACCAAATCTCTTTGCTTTGCCTGATTTGTCTCACCTGAGCTACCATCACCAACTTTATTCTGCAGTGCTGCAGCTGTTTCCTCACTCACTGCTCTTGTGATTTTCCTTGGATCGTTATTCTAAACAGAAGCCTCTCTGCCATTTGATAACATTTTATTAAATCTTTGATAATTTGATACAGTGTACTTTGATAATAGTCATGCCCTTCCTAACCCCTCTCAGATCTCTTCCCACCTCCCTACCCACACAACTTTATGTCCTACACCCATCAAATGCAGTTTGTATTGACCAACTACTCCTAGGTGTGGGACCTGTCCTGAAGTGTGGTCAGTATAGTATGGTCACATCATTAAACCAAACTGACTTTCCCATAAGCAGTCACTGGCAGTAGCTTGTCAGCTTGAGGCAGGTCTTCATTGATACTTCCCTCTCCCAGGCTCCAATTCTGTCTGGCTAGTGCATGCTCTCACAGTCACTGTGAGGTGATATGGGTATCGTTGGGAGGGATAACTAACAGTAACAGCCTTTTAAAAAGCCATATGGAAACCTACTAGTATAGGAGCGTCCTGAAATATACACATCCTCTCATGTAAAGAAGAGTTTAAGTGGAGTTACTTTATAGTGGGGGATAATACCCAGCTAGATACTATGTGCTGACTTTTAAGCAATTTAAGTCAAGGTTGTTGTAGTCCCTAGAATAAAAACCCATTAGTAGCTTATCACCACGGTTAAAATGATAAAAATCTTTGACCACATACATAAATATTGCTGTCCAGTGAGTTAGTTCTGAGCATTCAAAAGGTTAAACTGTACACTTAACACACACCTGAAGTAGAGGTTAGCTGGTATTCTCATTACCACTTTGCCTGAATTTTTTAAAACCATGTTTTACTTTGTACTCTGTTCTTGTTGCCCTGATCTAAGCATTTGGAATGAAAACTACATGCTTTGTGCACACGTGTTTTGGAGATTTAAAAAACATGTCTTTTCTCATTGCCAAGCTAATTCTATTTGTCTCTTGGATCTTTACCTATCCCTATTTCTTAAGGGAAACATTCTCTATTTTCATTTATTAAGACCAGCTGTTGTACCTTCTCACTTTACCACAAATCTCTACTGCTTTGTGCCTTTGTAATTTTAGATGTGTCTGTCTGTCTGATTAGTGTCTGATCTACTAGATTGTGAACTCCACGAGGACAGGAGGTTTTTCATTGTCATTATTAAACTTTGTATTTCTTGGGCCTTATACAGTACTGAACATAGGTGCTTAGTAAATTTATTGAAAGAATAAAATAAGACATTTAAGAGGTTTTTCAGATATTAGATTTTTCCTTAGTTGGATTTAAGGGGATGGAACATGGACAGAGAGAGGTGGGCTCTCCGTGTCCACAGTGGGAAAATGTAAAGTAGCAATGTGGGAATCTGGGCCCTACTGTTCTCTGAATCTCTAGTTGATTTGTTACAAGGTGGAAAATAAGCACATCACAGCATCACCTGGCTTTTGTTGTGACTTATGGTGCTATGGCTGTTGAGATCTGCCAAACCCATTTGCTAAGCAGAGTGGAAATAGGCCAAGTGAGCAGTGTCTGAAATTCTCTTCTCTCCTTGGGAAGGCGATGAGTCCTCCAAATTTCAGTTGTGCCTAGTTCCTTAAAGCACACAAATAATCCTATTGTAGTTCACACTTAGAGGCACTATGAAGTGTGTGTGTGTTTAGCATGTGCTCCTGTGTGTGGAGGCTGTAGACTGATACTGGCTGCCTTCTCAGATTACTTGCCATCTTATTTTTGAGAAAAGTCTCTCACCAAATCTGGAACTCAGTGATTTGGCTGGACCGGCTGACCAGTGAGCTTCAGAGATCCACCTGACTTCCTAGTGCTAGGATTGCACACATGCGTCATCATGCCTGACTTTTTTGACATGGATCCCAGGGATCTCAGCTCAGTTTCTTATGCCTCCACGGTGAGCGCATTATCAAGTGAGCCATGTTGCATGTTAGTGTATATACCTGCAGAAGTCAAGGTTAAGGGTACTTGTGAGCCACCAAACATGAGTGCTGGAAATCAAGCTGGGGCCTTCTAGAAGACCAGTACATGCTCTTAACTGCTGAGCCAGCTTTCTAGTTTCAATTTTAACATTTTAACCTTTCTTTTTAAATGCTGTCATGTTTTTATACAATCAGTTTATTTAATTATATTTGGTACATTTTTGTTTGGTTCTTGAGAAGTTCAACGTTAACATGATGTAAACATAAACATGATAGTTTTTATGAGCCATTAGATGTAATCTAATGAATTTTATTACCATGGCATGTCGGACAATCCATGTGAATGCTGGAATGTTGGAATTGCATATATGTGGCTAGCACATTTGAGATTTTTTTTAACCATTTTAAGATTCCTGAGAAATAAGAAAACAAACTAGTGTCTTTTATACCTCATGAAATGTGTGAAATACATTTTTAGTCCTAGGAAAAAAATCACTAGGGCTAATCTTTCTTTTCAATTCTGAAATCTTTTATTTAAAAAAATAGTTTCTCTCTCTCTCTCTCTCTCTCTCTCTCTCTCTCTCTCTCTCTCTCTCTCGTGTGTGTGTGTATGAATGTTGTTGATGTCAAGAAAGCATGTTCTTTTTTGGGGGAGGGGAGACAGGTTTCTCTGTATTGCTTTGGAGGTTGTCCTGGAACTCACTCTGTAGACCAGGCTGGCCTCGAACTCACAGAGATCCCCCTGCCTCTGCCTCCCGAGTGCTGGGATTAAAGGTGTGCACCACTAAGGCCCGGCCATGAACATGTACATTTTAAAGTAAACTCTTTCCCAAGGATTTGTCGTGAGATTAATTACACCTTACTGAATGTAAATGGGTCACACATCTGCCCAAGCCATCATTGGTTCAAATGTATTGCCCAGGTCTAGAGTACTGGTTGTCCTTTGGTGACATGGCTACATACAGTGCCAAGAGAGACTAAGACTGGAACCACTGAGATGTCTCCATAGGTAAAGATGTCACTGTCAAACTTGATGACCTGAGTCAGACCCTAAGAACCCATGTGGGGAAGAAGGTGTGCGACAAGGCTTTTCCTGGAGAGACAATACGCAAATCTATTCACCCCAGATAGGGAACCCACAACAGACCAAAGTACAGATACCATTGTTAAGGTCCATGAGATGTTCATAAAAAGACTGCCCATCATGTGTGCAATCAGCAAGAACATTTAATTTGAGAACAAAAATAGCCTCATGCAGGGATGGCAAAATGGTGACCCCAAGAGAAGCTCGCAGGATCTTTTAAGCAAGATTAGGGGAATTCCAGGGCAGGGAGGTTAGTCTGGGGGCTGATTGGCGGGTTAAACACAAAGTGTGTGGGCTGCTATAGGATTGGTTGGTGGCTTAGTGGTTAGTGGCTTTCCAGCAGCAGGGTGGGAGAAGCTACCTTTAGCTATTTGCA